AGTCTACCCCAGTGAGCAAAATAAAGGGTTCAGTTCAACATTCCAACCACCTGAAGAAGGCCGGAGCATACAACGGCCAAAACGATGTGATAAATATGGCGACAAAGATGAGGACAATAGTCCGAATAATGTACATAATACCTCACCTCAGAAATATAGACACACACACACACACACACACACACATATATATATATATATATATATATATATATATATATATATGAACCATGTAAATTAACTAATTTTAATCATTTGTTATGGTAATGGATTTTGAGAGAGCCTCTGATAAAATGTGTTGATTGATGACTCTTTAAATGCTTTTTCTATGATTATTACTTTATCTTTGCTGTTTACATTGAGTCAAGGATTTCCCTGCCCAGTGGCTTATTTATTTAAACTGCTTATCTAAGCTTTTGTTATGTCCTTGAGTGGAAATTATGCTCACTGATTAATTTAACAATGTATCAGTATTGCTCCTTGTAGCACTTAGCTGAAACTGGAATACTGAATGCGACTAATGCTTAGAGCAAGTTGATTTTCAAACATAGTCAAAAGTAAATAATAACTGACAATGCTTTATGAAAGAAAAATAAAACATGGTTAATCAAAAAAATATTTAATTCTAATAAAAAGTTAATATTTTCAGAATTCTAAGAAAAGCTTTTTTGCTCCAAAAGATTTTTTTTTTTTTGTTTTCATAAGTTTGATATATAATCAAATAAGTTTAATTATCATTTATGAAATTGCCTGGAAATTGAGACAATTTTTTTATTAACATTTAAAAATATAATTTTGGGAAAACCATTTGATGTGATCACTTGGAGATAAAAAATTTTATAAAAGCTATCTCAACCCTTTACATCCCACTTCATCCACCCTCAAAATAATATAACTGTACCTCTGTTATCCAGTATTCCATAGTCCAGCAATTTCCATTGTGTGGAATCTTTTGAATTTGCAACCAGATTCTTCAATTTCTCTTCAAATCACACTTTGAACCATGATTTTGTCATATTTAAACTGACTTGTTAAACGTGTGAAAATCTAACTACGGGTTGAAATTTAATCAATTGAATGAACTCCATACTTAGCAACTTTCAGTGTTCACCTTAGCATAAAATTACACATGTATTTTTTTTTTCTGAAACTTATGATTTTCTAATGCAATCAATTAAAAAGCTTTAACAAATAATTTTCATTATCATCTATAATATAAAGACAATGTGACTTTAGATATTTATTGGTTATGCAATCTGATCTTCCCTATTTAACACTTTCACTGCTGCATTGTGATTGTCTGGCTGTGCTGAACCATTTTTAGAATAATAGGATATTACCATTTACTGGAAATAAATGACTATAAAGACACTGACAGAAATTTTTCATGGGCACTACCATTTTGGATCCAACTAGATATACTAAGTTAAATGACACCATCATTGCACAATAGGTCACAAAATAGGCTGTATTGCATACTGCTATATGTCTATGCTGGTTTGGAAATAGCACTAGTTTATAATACAGATGATAGGGACTGGAATTTCATGATGTTGAAGGTATATATATATATATATATATATATATGTATGATAAAGTATAGTTTTACAGTATGCTATGTTTATGGGGAAAGTGCTCAATATCAGAGATAGAGTATAGGCAAATATAAGAGTGAACATTAAGTGGCAACAATCTTTCATGCTTGAATGAAATCTTCAGGCCTGTACAGCATGAAATGGACTGTTGCCACAATAATTAGATCTTCCATTATGGTACAACTAGCAAAACTTTCTTTTTCATAGAATATTATTTTGTTTAGTTTAATATTCAGGAAATATTTAACATGAGTTTTTGGTATTTTATTAGTCCAATTCAATAACAAAATATTTTTGTGGTGTGGGTAAACTATTTACCAATGTAGCATCCATAAAAAAAAAAATAGATAAATTATACAACTACCCGCATATATAAAATGCAATTCTTGTGTATTTGTAACACTTTTCACAAATTATACAGATGATTTCTGACAAAGGGCATAGAAATTCTGATTCTAAACAGAAGTGCTAATTTAAATCTAATTTATCCTATCATATATTGACGTATTTATTAACTTGGATATGATTTCTAAACTTAAAAATATTTGCATGTGTAAATGACACATGTAAGGAAATGAAATGAATTTCAACAAGGCGATATTTTATATTTTTTGTCTTTATATAACTGAGTGACAAGAGAAAATACGCAGTATGCATGCAAAAGAAAATATTAAAGGTTACCAACTGTGTGGGTGATACATGTGTGTGTGTGTGTAAGTTCAGTCACTAAGGAGAATGATATTCTAATGTTTAGGAACAAGGTCTTGGTGATGTTGTCACTCAAACATGCCGAGAGAGAGAGAGAAAAAAAAAGTGAGAAAAGGATGAAAGCAGGAAGTGTCCCATTTTTATAAGCACTTCACAGCGCCCTCTAATGACTTCTTGTTGAAACTGGTGAAGCTATGTGGGGATAATGCACAATTTTAATGCATGCATATATTTAAGGTCATTGTGAAGGTCATTCAGATAGTATTTTAAACAAATGGAAAAATTTATCGTTTTCCTTTTTTGCCAATAAGGTGACACAGATAATGAAAATAGAAATTATTGGCACCTGAAACTTCTGTCAGGTTATTAATATACTTTTTTTTTTCTTTTTTTTTTTTTTACTTAAACAAGTGTTTTCATCTTGGTTGTTATTAATACTGTATTCCTGGTGTCTCTCATAATTGGTAAAATTCCAAAAATTATTCAATCCATGGAGGACAACAGTTCTCATTCCACTGTCCATGCCAGGGAATACTTCATATCAATTTTTTTATATTCATTTTTATAATATCCCTTGTCTCTTCCACTGAATCAGAATGTGTCTTTTTGCATTATCTGATCATGGGATTGAAATCATAACTGCCAGGTAACTAAATCCACTTAAATGCTTTTAACCAAAGCAAAGTAAAGGTTTACATTGTAATAGTAAAGTTTAATAAACAAAATAAAAGTACTTTTAAATCTCCAGTAATCTACTTATCTCCTTAACACCTCATTAACATTAACACCAGCATTCTTAAAGATGGGTCAATCAGCTAATTTCTGAAACCAGATACTTGGATAAGCAAAACAAAAGATCAAAGAACTTGTACCAATGCAAAGGACAATCCTACATGTACTTCTTGACTACTTTCTGGCAAAAGTCCTCTTTTCCTGGGTTTATATTGAAGTCATCAGGAAAAGAGGGCCGAGTTCAGTTCTCTCTGTTCTTTTGCCAGAAAGCAGAACAGGCTAGTCCACTCCTATAACTGCCAAAGAACTAACCAGGATAACTGTCTTCTTCAAAGAAGGAAAGGTCTCTCCATCTATTTATCTGTCTTTTTGCTACAATATACTGTGTCCTACAAACTCTGTTGCATAAAAAGAATACAAACTTGTACTTGTATCCAAAAGAAAATAAACCTTCCAAAATGTTTGCTCACCATTCATTCATTTTGAATGTAAAAAAAACATTCTGTGCCAACTTCCACAACACAAAACTGTAATATTAGTTCATAAAAGATTGAATATGGTTTCTTCTCTGAATTTTTGTTAGATATTTTAATATTTTATGTAGTTGGTTTAGCTTAATTTTTTTTTTTTTTTTATTTTTATGTTCTCCTTTTTTCCCCACCAACAAACAGTTTCAACTTTGTCAGGTGTTTGTTGTATTTTTTAAAAACAATTCATTCCAAGCAAGGTGATAATGCTACTAAGACACAAGGGGGCTACTGGAAGTGAAAGAGAAGGAAAAGACTTTAGAAGGATCCAGAAACTCAATAATAGTATAAATTTCACAGTTTAAGGGGATATGTCAAAAGTATGGAATTGAAATAGAATTTAGAAGGAATCAAAAACCCAATCCTAAACAGGAAAGAAGGGATAAACCTCTACTTGTTCAAAAGACTTGAGACGTCATGGAATATTATCTAATTTTGATTGGGCGAAACACGCATGTCCCTTCAAAAACATATCACATCTAATGCTTATGTCTATGTATTCCTGGTGATTTTTATGAGAAGGTATGTACATGCTGTCTTGGAACAAGATTAGACAATATCTCATAACATGATGGATACCTGAGGAATGTCAAGGTGTACACAAAAAGTCAACAAAGTAGAGAAAATTAATCCATACCACCAACCATATGCAAGGAGTAATATTAGTATTTTAACCAAAAAAGTAAAACTTATTGTTAACACCAATAGAAAAAAAAATTATAAGTGTCAGAAGGTGAAACAAAAGAAATATGACATTAATAAAGTCAATTCCCTGTGTTTCATTGCTGACAATTCAATGCAAAATTGTTGCATAAGTCTGGATTCCTGTTACTTCATTGAAAATGTATTTCATAACTTTGAGTTTCAATGATAAAGTTATTTTAAATCTTGGTGTTCAAACCCAAACTTATCAAATAAATTTTCAATGAACCAGAATCCAAACTTCTTATCAAGCTGCTTTTTAATTAAAAAAAAAATCTTTATATAAAAGAAAATACAAATCTAAAACTTAATAAATAATAAAATAATAATAATAATAAAAGATGATTAATTTTGAAAATGATTATAATTTTTAAACTTCCCAAGCTAGAAATACAGTTAGATAGGGTAACATTTTTTTTTTTTTTTTTTTTTTTTTTGCATTCATTTAAAAATAAACCCATTTATATTTTAATTCAATAAATTCTCAATCTAAATCTAAAAATGATGAATGTTGTTAGATTTTAATTGAAAAGCCATAAATTTACATTGTATGATGGTTTTGATTCAGATTTTTCTTTTTATATCTGTGAAGATGTAAAAATTTTCTATAAAAAAGGTTCAACTCTATTTGAAGCCACAAGGATTTTTTTTTTTTTTTTTTTTTTTTTAAATCCTTTTTTATTTTATGTAATGTTTTTAACTTCTATTTGAAAATTGTTTTATTTTTCAATTTTAGGCCCTCTCTGAAATTGAAAGTATGCTGAGATACATGGACAAGGCAGAGAATGAGATTAATACTGCAGAGCCTGTCAGCTCAGATCCGGAAACACTCACCATCCAGTTAAGAGACCACAAAGTAAGGAACCTGAAATATTAAGTTTTAAACAGAATATAATTTTCTTTTTCTTTTCTTTTTTTTTTTTTTTTTTTTTTTTTAAATCAATCTTGTAATATTTAGGTAAACTCTAACTTGATAAACATTTCTCAGAGAATTTATTAACTGATTTTTCTTTTAAAAGGTCATGGATTAAAAGAAGCCAATTCATTTAATGGAAAAAGTATTTAAATATATGGATGTACTTTCATATTTTTATGTTTTGCTTACAAGTAATTTGGGATTTATACTAAAAATTAAAAGAAAGAAAAATAACTGCAAGGTGCTAACTAGAAGTTCAGCAAATGTACATGAACAATGACTTTCTCTAACACATAGTTTCCACTGTTTCCTTTGAAATATTTGTTTACTCTTTACATGCTGTTCACAAAGCGTAGCAGTAGTAGTTGGTCATACATTATCAGTGAATTGTTCATATTTTCAGGTAGCTCTTTTTATTGCAGCATTCAAGTAAGCAAAAAGGTTTTGAAAAACTTAAAGAACACAGTTGGCATTCTATGTCAGTTAATCCTTAATCAGGGAATTGTTTTTTTTTTTTTTTTTTTTTTTTTATAAACAGCCATTGGAAATTGGTAGCAACTAAAGTTATCAAAATTTAAACCGGTCACAAAAAAGAAACTCACTGTAATGGAAAAATAACTTTTTTGTGACTACAGGAGCTTTCCATTGTTTTTTGTTGTTGTTTTTTTAATCATTTCACCCCAAGCAATGTAATAAAGCCACTAAGGCATAAAGGGTTTACTGAGTGTAAGAGAATGTGAGAAAAAAAATGCTATTAGGGAGAAAAAACAATAAAAGAACAGGAATTAGCAGATGACAATTGGCATTGCATTTACATTTTTGAAGATCACAATTGACTGGAAAGTAAGAAGGTGGAAGAGAGTTCTACAAGTGTGAGAGAAGAAACTTGTAACTTCATTTGTAAAATGATGAGACCTTGCCACCAATCAAGTACTGTGCTTAAATTCATAAAGTCTAGTTACCACAGTTTCTTCAGATCCATTACCGTGAAATTTTTCTTATAAAAAGCACAGGAAAGCTACATTATGGTAGTGGGAATGTGACTGAAGCCAATATGCCAGGTCAGTACCAATAACATTACAAACTCTTTTTATTTTATTATCTCTCTCTCTTTTTATTTATATATATATATATAATAGAAAGAGCAGAAGCATAGACCAGATGTGGCAGCAGTATTTAAAGCATGTAAACTTATAAATGTGTAAGAGATTCTGGTGAGAAAATTATTTAACATGACACAGTGAATCGGGTTTTCTAGCAGCTGGTACATTTCTGGTATTTGTAACTCCAAATGTTCAAAAATACATAAGTTTTTATAATGTTACAGGATTGACTTTATTCCTGACAATGTTTTCTTGCTGATACAATAAGTTGCTTAAAGAAAATTCAAATAAAAAAAAAAATAAAAAAAAGTTTATTATAAATATTTGTACATTGGTGCTGTCTCTCACCAATAAAGGTTGATTTGTTTCTTATATGTTCTTACGCCAAACCATTCTTTTATCCCTTTTAAAGTTTTGACATTTAGTCTGTACAATTTACATTGCTACAACCTGCCAAGGAGAGAAGTGAGGTTTAAACCAGCTTATAACCTTAGAAGTTATAGCATTTTATTTTACAGCTGTAAAAATTTAACAAGGTATCAAAAGAAAAGTAACAAATATTTAAATTCTTTTACAGTGATGATCCTTTTTTAAAAGCTGCACTCAATGCTTAAATACTGACAGCATCTCTCTCTCTCTCTCTCTATATATATATATATATATATATATATATAAAAACAAAGGACATCACAGGAAAAAAAAAACAATTGCATTTTGCTTAGAGGGTGGTGCTGAGCAGCTACAGTAATATCAATTCTTGTATGATGGTTTAACTTTAAACTGGCATGATATTCAAAATTTGAATTTATAGATAGATTTTTTTTTTTTTTTTTATCTCTGAAAGTTCAAAATTTGAATGTTTGTAAGTTAGAGAGCATCTCTACGTACAAAATATGACAGGTGTTTGTGCCTATGTAATGGGCACAGAGCTGTGTGGTTAGAATATTTATTTTCCAACCATGAGACCCAGGTTCGAATCTCACTATGGTCAGTTTGTCAAGAAGGTGACTTCTTGATGGGATCATTTTAGGTAAATGATCCCAGCATGCAGTACTGTTGGAAAGTGCCTGGAAGCTGTCGATGGTCATGCTAACATGAAGTCACAAGTCATTGTGACTGAAGGTCTGAAGGTATACTGGCCTTATTCAAACTGTTGATCACACCAGATCATGTGCTCTCTCCCAGAAACTGTAACTAAATACACATGGGCTCTGTGGGTGTTGAACAAACACAAATGTACCTGAACAGGCACCTGCAACATATTGCCCAGCCACCTTAGCAGCTAGGTGTGTTCAGAAATGAGTAGCTGACCATATATATATATATATATATATATATATATATATATATGTATGTATGTATTTCCCCCAGAGTAGTTCATTTTTTTAATTTTTTTTTCTAGTTTATTTCATTGTTCAAAGACAAGGTTAAGAATTCAATACCAGAAGAAAGTGTTTGCACCAAATGTGAACCAATACAAAAAAAAACATAACCTTAATATCCAGATGTTGTCTCCTTTACTTCATCATTCATAGGCACTTTAATCACTACAGTTTATAATTCTTTGTTTTTTTTTTTTTTATTTACAGGTGTTTCATAATGACTTGAACAGCAAGCGGAATTCTGTAAAAGACATCATCAGTAAGTGCAACCGGATGCTACGTGAAACTACAAATACTCAGACAGAAGCAATCAAATCTCGTCTTGACAGCATCCAGACACAAGCAGACATTGTATGCCAACTAAGTTCTGACCGCTTGCAGCATTTAGAAAGTGCCCTACCCTTAGCATCACACTTCAGTGAAAACCAGGCTGAGATCCTTGCTTGGTTAGATGAAATGGAAGCTGAACTTAAGGCGCAGAGCACATCTGGGGAAAACCTGGATCAAGTCAAGAAACAACTTGACAATCTCAAGGTGTTTATTTTATTATTCTTTGCCTGACTTTTTTTATATTAAATGTCTATGATAGAGTTGTCTAAATTTCTTGGATAAAGTATTATCAATATTTAATTAGTTTTTCTTTCAACTTTTTAAAAATTTTTCTTTTTTTTTTTTTTTTTTTTTTTTTTTTTTTATCAAAATAAATCAAAAATAAAATAGAAAAACTAGTTAAAAATTTAAATCTTCTTTAGAACTTCTTACTTTAAAATAATTTAACCATTACACAACCACTCCTCACTTAACAACACATTTAATGACTCCCTTCCTGCCTCAGACTTACGACCAGCTATAAAATTTCATAAAATACTCAAACCAATTAGGATTGTAAATTGTATAAAAATTTTGATCATGATTGTTTTCTTTCTTTTAAAATGAATCAAAATTTACTCATTCTGTATTTATATGCAAACAAAAGTAATGTATAGACTACAGAATTGATTTTTCAAATTTATTTATTATACCTACTGTTCAGTACACTACTGTACTATATATATATATATATATATATATATATATATATATATATATATATATATATATATATTAATTTTCAATTTAATTAGAAAACAGACAACCTTAAGGGTCCACTGATTATATTTTATTTCTCCAGGTAGATAGTTTTTACCTGGTTCATCAGTTATCCATATGGATTACTAAACTTTTCATTACCTACCTATATATATATATATATATATATACACACACACACCTCCCCTTAATGACTAACCTGTTTAACATCCCAACTCCCAAATTTACAGCCAGATGCTGTAAATTCACACAAAATGAATGAAATAGAATCTCTTAATTTAAAAAAAATCCAATCATTCAGTATTGTAGACTGTATGAAAATTATCATAACCGTTTTCTCATTCATTCAAAATGAATGAAAATATTAAAAAAAAATTAAATTTAATTCTAATGCATTTATGATATGCAAATTGAATTAATGCATAGAATATAGAACTGATTTTTAAATTTGATTATTATGTTTACTTTTCCATATAAAAATTTATAAACATTAGAAATGGTGTAAAAGTGATATTAAAGCTTTCTGAATCTGTTTGACACAAGCTTATGGCCATATCACATTGAAACATTGGTTCTCATATGATCACTAAAGTTAAGCAATGTTGGGCCAGCTCAGTACTTAAATGGGTGATTGCTTGGATGTGCAGGTGGTGCAATAGATAAAGGCTTGGAATAAGAATTTGGAGAGCAAAGTTCAAAAACCAATCGGGTTCCTTATATTCACTTGTATGCAAATACCCTTGGCAAAGTTATGAATTCACCTCTTCTCCCAGCTATGGGTTAAATAGGATGTATCAGAAAATCATTATCATCTCCAAAAAGTTCCAAAAATCTAAAAATGTTTTGGCTTTAAATAACTTTAAAAGGGTTGATAAGCCATAAAAAGCAAATCAATCAATCAATCAATGATTGATACAAACCTATTACACAAAGTTTATTTGAAATAGTGGTCAGGTACATCTCACTTAGCAACCAGCTTGTTGGAACAGAACCCATTCATTGAGGATTGACTCTGTTATTTTGTTTTTTGAAATAGCGTATGCCTTTACAAATGTATATAATCATAGTTGGATTATTTGGTAATTATATAGTTTAAAATACCAATTTCATAGCTTTGATATGGTGTTGGGTGTCCTTGGTGGCATCTGGCTAAAGCAGATAATTAACCAAACATTTACAATAAAAAAAAAAGACAACTAGAGAGAAGTTAGAACATAAATGAAGAAAGAATATGTGAAAGTATAGAAATACATTGCATTCCTTCTCTCCAACCCTGAAAAAGGAAAGCTCATGGATGTAACAAAAGCTTTCTTTACTCACAAGTTTGTATGTTATGTGGCAAGAGGCTGTAACTATCCATGTGTGAGGAATGCATCTTCTCTTAGCAGCATCTCTTGGAAGACTGTCCTGTCTGTCAAGTTAGTTCTATTGATTGGTTGTTGAGGGTCACATGACTGACCAAGCATGGTGTATACTCATTGGTAGGAAAAGAAAGGAAAGTTAACCCAACAACAGGATTATATTTAAGAGAAAATGCAGAAAACTTAATCTTAGTATCAACATTATTGTCTTCTATAATTTTTGTTTGAATTTCTGGGGTGAGGTGTTATTTACATTTAGACTAATGTCCTTATCTTTGTTATTATAACAACATTTCAGCTGTTGTGCTCTTCAGTTTTCTTCAGAAAATTTCAGACTAAACCCTTTATTAATCCCTTCTAAATAATCAATAGATTACATTTCAAAATTCATCTTTGGATCCTTCCAAAACTGACATATACAAGGCATGCTGAAAAGTTCCCAGCTGGACACACTTTGCAAAATCTGACCAAACAAGTCTTTTTCCATCCATATTTGATAAAGCCGAGAATTTTTCACTACTCCCTCATATATATTCATCTTCCTGCTAAATACTTCAGTTTTTTAGAGTGTCTCTAAGACAATGAACATCATGTCCAAATTACTTGCATTACTTGTTCTATCTGTCAAATAACTACCATATTTGTTGGCTTATAAAATCTGTAACCATTTACCTTTTAATATCACAGTATTATGGAGTTAGAATAGATACAAGTACTGGTATTTTATAGCAAATCTTAGCCTACCAGATAGCTCAACTTCACATATAAGATCCAAAGGATATTTTACTTTTATTGAATAAAGTGAAAGGGAGTTTCCTGTTATCAAATGCAATCACTGATTGCCAAAAGAACTAATCAATACACAACAAAACAACTTGCCAAATGATTCTAAAGCTGTACCCAACAATCTAATAATCCGATTATCTAGCAACAATTTTTAATAGTAATATTTTCATCTTAATCACTAAGAAACACTGAACAAATTTTGTAAACAAGAGTCTTCGAGTCCAGTTTTCCTCTTTCTGAACCAAGTTTTCAGAATGATTTGCCATTTTGAATTGAAGTTATTATGCCAAACAGCCAACAGCAATTTCATTCAAGGTTAGTTTTTTATACAACTAACTTCATATATCCATCCTTACACATTAATAGGAGTTGACATGCCGTTAAATCCAACATCCATCCATCCTTACACATTGCCACAAAATGAATTTACACTTGTTCATTATTATGACGCTATCTTTTAGTCAGTAAAAAATCATACATAAAAATGTGGCAAATACAGAAAATATGAAAAATGTTTGACCACCATTTTTTGCTTTTTTCTAATGTTTGTTAAAATTAAATTCTTTGGTTAATTTTGGCAAAAAGATGTATTCTCTTTAATATTCATTTTGTCTGCCATAATTACTGCAAATTTTACAAAAAAAAAATAGTCATGTGTGTACACACATCCAACCATTACAAGATATTTACATTAGAAATTTAATTGAATTAACAATTTTCAGAATATTAAGTTAGGTTTACATCTGGGATGACTTTCTTTATTCATTATTTTGAATCCTATTTATTTTTAGATAACTTCCCTTTTGGGTATTATCTTTATTCATTGGTGTTTTAAAAGAGACTAATTCTAACCATCTAAGCTTTTTACTGATGAAAAATCACCAAACAAATTAATTTGGACAGAATATGAATATTTTATAACTGTGGCTCTGCTGAACCATATATAATAATTAACAATATATATATATATACACTAGGTGTAACAGCAAAATTGTCCAATTGTTAGATTAAGCTCTGAACTGTTGTATCTTAGAAATGATTAAAGATATCTTACTGGAATTATCCGAGGCTTTTATAACATTATTGGACTCTGAGGAATAAGAATGTATAATTACTCTCTAAGCTTAACAGAAGTGTCGTGATGAAATTGATCATAAACAAAAATGACATGTTCATATATATATATATATATATATATATATATATATATATATATCCTCTCACCATTGCTCTTTTAGGAAGACAGTGGGGCTGACACAAAACAATTTTAACCTGTTCTCTTTCTAGTTAAATAACTCAAAGGTTTTTTTTTTTTAGTGATTCTTGCGATAAATGGGGTTCAGGATGGCTAAACATCTTATCTGAAAATCTGGGAAAAAGAAACTCAATTTAGTGGGTTTTTTTTTTTTTTTTTTTTTTAAGTTAACCATTTAAATGTGTCAATATCTGCTAACTCACTCATGTCTTCTCTATCTCTCCTTACTTCGTCAATTTAAATGTTTAATATGGCCCATCAAAAATGTAAATTTTTTCATTTTTTGTTTGAAAGTAAAGTCTCATGATCCGCAGTCCTTTTAAAAGGGCTGTGGTGAAATAATTTATTACATGGAAACTTAAAGTGGTCTGTTTTTATTTAAAATTTATATATATATATATATATATATATATATAAAATATGGAATTTAAAAAGGCGTGTATATTTTAGCTGAAGGTATGTGTTCAATCTATAACATAGATAGAAGCATACAAAACTTGTGTTTCTACTACAGAAATGTATTCTTTTTATGGTGACTGTAGTGAAACGGTTCTCAATGTTTCTTTGGTATGTCCATTTTCCTTTTGGGTTCAGAAATAGGTTAGGATAGCAATATTGTTGTGCTTGTCAGATTATATATTTCATTATTATTATTTTATTTGTCAGTTTTATTTCATTTTCACACAAATGTATAATGATGTAATTTTTTTCTGTGTGTTTATATAAACTTAATAAATGAATCCTACCTTGAACCCTAAAGATAAGCAGGCAAGTGTTATATTCATTATGCCAGTATTCTGTTGCTTGAACAGTATAGTAAAATTAATTTTAAAACACTAAATATTCGACACTGATCTTAAACAGAAGTACATGTATAATGTAATTTTTTTATGAGTACTATGTTAATCATATAACAGATATAGATGGGAAAACATATATACTTTCTTTAAATCTCATTCTGTTGATTAGATGGAAGTAAATATCTTAACAACAAAAAGCAGAAATGTTTTAAAAGTATTATTTGCTTTCATAGAAAGAATTAACTGTGTGTGAATTTAACTGCTAGTTAAAGTGCATTAAATTTGAAGTTTTTTGTAGTAAGTCAGGTTTGAAACATTACTCTTGTCATTAGAAACAATCAAATGTAGAAAAAGGTTGTTTTTTTTTTTTTTCTTCATGAGTATTCATTTTTAGTTAAAAAAGTTGTTAAAGTGATAAAAAAATCCAAGTATGGTATCTCCCATCTTGAAGACAATCTGAATGCTATTTAATGCTAATGAAGTTTTTTGTGGTAGTTTGAATGTATAATCTTCTCTCCATTTCTTGGATAGCCTTTTTTTTTTTTTTTTTTTTCGATTGGTTAACAGACATTAAAATATTCTTGTGCTGTTCACCCTATTTTGGCACAAATTTTTGTTTGTTGTAAAAAAAAATATATAAAACTGTCTGCTCCACTTTTAACTCCCCAACTTAAAGGTAGATCAATGTTTTAAGATGTTTATTTTAGAGTTTTGAACTTTTGTAAATGCTTCCCCATTGAAAGTGGAAAATGCTTGTTTTAATCTGAAACTGTTTCATATCATTATAGAGATTATGATGCTGTCTTTCTTTGTGTTGCTTGATATGATCTTCATTTTTCTCTCACAGATCTTTCAACAATTTATCAACTCTGTTACTCATATACAACTTAAGTGAAATCCTATTACAATATCATGACCTTTTACGTACACATCTTTTCTAACTAAATGCTTTTATTAACTGACTTTACAAGCCTATACAGAATAATACAATTTGAGCAGCATCATCTTCAATAATAACTGATAATCTCTAATCATTTTCATTAAAAGAATAGATGTCATCATTAATCTTTCTTGGATTAAACAGACTTTTATTAGATTCCTTCAAAAATTTCAAAAATCTAATTAGATTATCAAAATTGTTTCAATTAAATTTTCTCCTTTTTGGTTAAATTTGATCAAAATGTAATTTTGGCAATTTAGTGATTTGCATTCAATCTCTCACCCAAATTAAAGAATATTTAAATAAGAGCATCTTTGCTGATGTACAAGATTAGAATCATTGTCTTTCTAATTTCTGTTTTCTGGTATTTTCTCCTGTGCATGACTAATGGCCAAGTTTCAAAACTTTCAGATTAAAGAAGTATAACTTAATAGCCTTTTTTTGTGTTTACTGCAGCTGTTAATATTTCTGTTAAGTCTCTCCACTTTCATGCAACCAAATCTGTAATGTATAAATCTATCAACTATATTAATTGTGTATTAAATCCTTTTAAAACAAAAATATTTTAAAAGGCAGCACATTTCTGCTTAAATAAATCCACTGCTTAAAAAATAAGTGCTTTGTATAATAAAGTTTTTTTTATTGAAGGATCATATAGGATTCTCAGCTAGATTCTGTATGTTGCATGGTAATTGTCATTGGGAAAACCCAATTATTGGGATTTACCAAATTGAGCCCCCTTTTGTGTCTTCAGTAGGCAGCTTCTTAGAGATTCAAGTTGGCAACAAATATGCATATTGTAAAACTATGGATGCAAGACCAGGCAAACATAGAGAAAATAATTCTTGTTTTTTTTTCTTATTGTGTCAGCAAAAAGCTCCCATGATTCTTTGTTTGTTTTTTCTTTTCTTTTTTTTTTTTTTGTTTGTTTTTTTTTGTTTGTTTTTTTTTTTTTTTTGTTTTTTTTTTTTTTTTTTTTTTTTTTTTTGTTTGCTTTTTTAGGTTTGCTTTTTGGTTTTAGCACAATTGATAATGGGGTGAGTAGTAGGGAAATGCATGTCTGACAAGCTTCCACTGTATTTTTCCACAAAACTAGATTTTAAGCTGGTCTAACCAAATAAATAGCTTTTTTCTTTGCTTTCTCTTGTCAGGTTTAATTCAGAGATTTTTGCTGTTAATTTGATCTCTTGACATTCAGCAGTATCCAATCGTAGACCTGACTAATTTCATCTGTAACCAATCGGTGTGATACATCCTGTTACATACATACATACATACCATCTAGAAGTAATCAATAACAAAAGTAATATCAAAAGATACAAGCTTTCTTTTACCAAAACCACATATTCTCAAGTGGTTACTCCTCTGATAATCCAGCTGATTTATGCTTAATATCAGAAATCAACTGCAAATCTGTACAACAAGAGCCACAGTTTGAAACATTAAAACCATTATGAATGAAGATTCATGTCTTTGCACTTTATATTTAATTTTCTGTAATGTAAAAATGTGTTTCTGCAGAATAACTGCAAGTAAATGATTTTCATTACATATGATACTAGTATCTCATTTACCTAATTTTTTATTGTTTTTATGGAAAGTATTCAAACCATCAATTTATGACCATCAGTAAACAAAATGGATCATAGTCTCTTGGTGAGACTCAAATTCACATCCCTTCGTCTAAGAAACTTGATTAACTAAATCAGTCGCTTTATCAATTGAGCTACAAGAATTCTATTGCTGGCAGAAGATCAAATCTAACCATATAAACTTTCACTTGAACCTTTCCTTGATTGCTCAGTGATATTTCTGTTATTGTTTTTATGTACACTTATTAACAGTAATATTATCAGTATTTTTACCTTTTTCTTATATGAAGCACTGTCAGCCCTTATTAATTCTGGTATTTCTATCATTTTAATCTAAATAGTTGCAATAAAAAGCAACTAATAAATAAAAATAAAATCTAATTTTACTAATTTTTTTTTTTTTTTTTTTTTTTTTTTTTTTTTTTAAATGAAATAACTTAAATGTTTTTTATTTTCAAAGGTGACTCAGCAAATTATTGAGGACCACAAACCCTTTGTTGAGGATCTAAGTGACACTGGAATGGAGCTGATAGAGTTGTGTGGTGATGAAGATGCAGAGGATTTGCAAGGAAAACTGTCCAGTATCAGCACACGTTATGATTCCCTTAAGACTCAAGCCAGAGAAAAGGCCCATGATCTGAATGAAAACCGAAAATTGATGACCCAAGAAGTATGAATAAGATCTGTTATTTTATATTTCAGATAACAAATAAATATAAATTTAGTTTGACAATACTCCCTGTATCAGATTCTTTTCTAGTAAGCATTCCTAGCTATTTTCAGTGGAATTATATTTGACTCATGGTAGCTTTTAAAATTAATGGCTCCCAATGAAGATTACTTTTAAGATTCAAAAAGCTGTATCTAAAGTTATTCCCTGTCAAAAGAAATTTATACAAATTTATATTTTCTGACAGGAATGACATTTTTAGCATTATACTTGAATATCAATATGTGAAATTCTTAACAATGAAGTACTTTGGTTCAAACAGTGAAAATTAAGTTATTTTTGTTCTGTTATTTTTTTTTTTTTTTAACTTCAACTTAGACTTTTTAAGTAACAATTTAATCATCTGATTTTATTTGTACCACAATTAAACAAATTCATTTTTTTTTTTTTTTTTTTTTGTTAGGTATCCGATACCTTGGAAAACCTTCTAGAAGATCTTGCTGAAATGGAACAGTCAGTAATGAATGCTGATCCAATCCCAGCTTTGCCAGAGAAATTGCGTGATGAAATTGATGAGAATAAAGTAAGTTTTATGATGATTTTTCCTTTTATCACCATCTTTTTGGGGGAGGGAGGGTTTCAGATTTTCTTTTATTTGTAATTAGGCTTTATTTTTCTTGTTCTTAAGGTTATTAGATGATTTTAAGCAAACTGAAATTTTTACTATTTAATAGCAGAAATTAATTTTATATTTTCAAAACCTGAACAGAATAACCTGTTCTCATTACATTCTTCTGATTATTAAAGATTAAGAAAAAAATGGAAGAGAAGATAGGGAAGAGAAATTATATTCATCTCTGCCTCTGATACAAAATTTGCTAGCACTTGTACTTTTTGAATGAATAATAAATTGAAAAATCTTAACTCACAAGGATAACTTGAACCCTGTCTTGAAATTTTTTGATATAGCTGAAAATATTTTAAACCGATAAAGATTAATCTATTATACACCAATTTTGACTAATATCTTCATGTTGGTCATTACAACAGTTTAGTCATTATATCCTTCTCTGTTCTTCAGATGTCTTTCATAATTTATGAACTTTTCCCAACCAAATCCTTTATTCAATCCTCGAAAGGTAGATTATTTTTCTTCTGCTATTCATGCCATGGGATATTTCATATTAATTTTTTCATTGAATTGTTCTTATGACATCATGTGTCTCTTCCACTGAAAAAGAATGGATTATTTTTTTTGCATTACTGTTGATTAAACTTATCTAATTATTTGGTGGTTATATGTTCAATTCCTGGATCAGGTAGTGCAAAAAGTAGTATGCTCTTGTTCAATGGAAGAGACAAACAACATCCCAAGGAAGGACAAATTAACTTAGAAATATTAACTGCTATATCTCCTGGAATGGACAACAGAATAAGAATAACCATCTCTGTGAATTGAATAAAGAATTTGATTTGAAAGTTATCAACTATGAATGACTACAGAAGAAAGACAGAGGGTACAATAGTTAAAACATAATTAGAGCAACTAAAATGAAAATGCTAGTCAGAGTAAATCAGTGTGTAATAAGAATTCCTAATCTCAAAACTTCAGACAAAAAGATGAATCAAAACATTTTTTTATGCTGTTACAGAATGAAATAACCTCTAAATTTAAAAGAATTGAAAATGAAATTTTGATACAAAATAATATTGTGGAAGAGAAAATAAAATGTCCATATAAGACTAAAAGCACATTCATTTATTAATTTCTGATTTATTTTCACTTCTATAGAAAAATTGTTTACATATTTAGTAATTAACAAAGACCATTTTCTTTCTGTTGACTTTTATCATCCACTTGTACTTAGTATATTTAAACCTTGATATTAAACAGTTAAAATATTTATTAAAGAAAAAAACGATTGTAATAACTGAATAGCATTTATTATTCTAATTGCTTTTTGACTTTGAGGGGATGAGGAAATTGCCTCAGTTCTTTGAGAGGATGATGACAGTGCCTAGGTTTTATGATGGCACACATTCACATTAATTTATTTTGGTTTTTACTTGTTTTTGTCAGAGAATATTTTCAAACACTTTATTAACTTATATTTCATCAGAGAATAATGGAGAGGCTCCACAAACACCACCCCCATGTAGATCACGCTCGGGAATCAGTTGCTGGGATTGTCAGTCAAGGAGTGGAAGATGAAGATGAAAGTAAGTGGTTATTTTTTTCTACCATAGCAACTTTCATGTCGATATCCCTCTCCACATTCATCCGGAATTTTCCTTTTACAATGTTTCTGTATTGCCTAACTTTATTTCTCTCTCTTCATTTTATAGTTTTTAAATTTAACCTAATTGCTTTATAACTACATTATTTTTATATAATTTTTAATACATTTTTATATAATTTTTAATACATTCAACTGAAAGAACATCTTGATTGATTTGAGTTTCATGGCTTATCAAATTTTTGCAAGTTATTTAAAGCCAGAAAATATTTTTGGATTGTCAAAACATTTTTGGGAATTAATAATTTTACTAATACAAACCTTACTATTTAACCCACAGCTGGGTTGTGTGTAAATGAATATAACAAATTCCAACTGGAATTAGAATTAAATTCTCTGATTTTTAATTACCGGCCGTTTTCCATTACACCACCTGCACATCCAAGTTTACTGCACCTGGTATTCCCAAGCAGTCACCCATCTAGATATTGACAGGCTCAACATTGCTTAACTTTGATGACTCAACAAGAGCCCTAAAAGAACAAAAATTCTCCATAATTTCTTTCAAAATTTCAAATTTGGGAAGTCATCCAGATGAGAATTTGGAATAATTTAAGATAGCTTTTTCTTTTAAATCCCATTACACATTGTCAGATTACAAGGACACCATATGTACATTTTATTTTTGTTTACTAAAATTTCACCCAGTACAAGGCCCAAGAGTCATTCAAGGTAGAGAGTTACCAAATGAGTTCATTGTATGGATATAAGAGGAGAACTAAATACAGATTATGAAGATATGTAGGATAGATAATGTTTGACCCTAGACTTGAAGAGATTTAGATTGTAGTGATCAGAGAAGCATCCTCTTGGGAGCTTGTTCCACAAAGGAGCAATTCTCTGTAATCCTGATTAGCTCTCGGGTATTATACAAGATGAACATCATTGTAAAATAAAATAAAACCATTGACACTATTATTTTAACTACCTTCTTTTTTTTTTTTTTTTTTTTTTTTTTTGACAATTTACAACAAAAATATTAAAAACCATTTATTTCAGTTCAGGATTACCTGTAGGTTGTCCAGATTGATATACATCTGAGGAAGGCCAGAGGGCACAATGGCCAAAACATTGTGATAATAGCAACAACAAAGATAAGGACAACAGTACAAATATAAAAAGTGTAAAAAAAAAATAATTCCTCATCTCAGAAATTTAGACACTATTTATTTATTAGATTGTTTATTTACAAGAATAATTTTATATTTACAAATAAATTTATGAAAATTTATAAATTATTAAAATATGTCAACCAACTATAAAGAAATCCTTATTTATATTTTAGAAAGTTCAGATCAATTGGCTGATGCTTTCACAACCATTCCCATAAACAATCGAATAAATAAGTAGTGTTTATTATCTTTGTTAATATTCAAGAACAAAGAAAATATATAAATTCACTTTAACATGTTTAACTTTTATTACAATTCTAATCATTACTTTTTAAAATAAACATTGCCAAGGAGTAAAGGTAGTTAAAATAATAGTGGTGTTAAAGGAAAAACTGTCTATTTTTTTGGCAGGCATAAAGGTCCAAGTTTGCCAAAAATCTTTTCATTAAAAGCTGATTGAAGTCAAAAAATATTTTGCATTTTCAATCTTTTTCTCTTTGCAGTAGAAGAGATGAAGACAAAAGTAATGGAGATTTGCAAACTGTCTGAAGATGTCTCTTCGGCAGCTCTTGAACGGGATCGTCAATTAAACCAGGCAAGGAAAATGTCAACCAAATTTTATGACCTATGCTCGGAAGTTGGCTGTAGCATAAAGGACCTCAAAGAAAATCTTTATTCCCAAGAACCACCAGGAATTGATTCACCAACTATCAAAGAACAGCAAAAAGAACTAACAGTGAGTAATTTCACTTTTTAAATGACTAGTTTGACACCAAGAGATAGGCTTTGCACCATCTTCTGAAACAAACTAAACTGGAGACAGTGACTGAAAATTGATTTCCCAGATGATACCTCTCCATTGCACTAAAAGGAGTAGGGTCATCAATACTTACTGTAATCTACAGGAATATATATATATATATATATATATATATATATATATTGCAAATTAAACATATTACAACGCATTTTTCCCACTGAAATTAATGGAAGATTAATTAATCTATTTCAGTTTTTCCAAAATGTCTATTTTAGAATTTTAGAAAATGGACAGTAAGAAATTAAATCACAGAAAGTACATGTAATAAAAACATTAGAGAGAATGAAAGAAAACAGCTTTTATTAAGTTAAAAAACTTTCATAAGAAGCTTCTGGCATTTTTACTGAGAACTTAGACTTTTCTGGCATTTGATTCACTTTCGGCACTTGCAGGTCGTTTCTTTAGAAATTTATCAATAGAAATCTGTTTCGTTCTTGATTTCAAAATGACATGAAAAAAATAGTCAACAAAATTTTCATTGAACAAAACAACCACACAACTTGCACCTAATTTTTATGGGTGGTATTTTTCCACATCACAAGCACTTTTTTGATCTCACTCATGGGGGCAACTTCCAACACGCTTTCCTCCTTGGTTAGTTCCTTTACCTCCTTCATGTTTTGATGCTCCTGAAACAGCTGAAGTTCCTCTGTCATCAGCTCCTCTCCATGCTTATTGATAAGCTCGTCAACATTGCCCATACCAAACTCAAGGCCAAAGACTTGGCCAGAGACACTATCTCCTTTACTTTGGTTTCATCTGTGGCAAAATTCTCGAATTCCTTGTCTGAGACACATTCAGGCCATAGATTCCTCCAGGCAGAATTCAGGGTCCTCCTCATCACATCCTGCCAGGCCACATGATGATGCTGAGGCAGTTCACAATGTAGTAGGCTTTCCAGAAATCACAAAGGGCCAGGTTTGTATTCTCAGTAACATCAAAGCATCAATGAAACCAGTGCTTGGTATAAAATTTCTTAAAATTAGAAATCACTTGCTGGTCCATGGGTTGTGAGATAGACATGCTGTTTAGTGACAAGTAAAGAAATTTAATAAATTTTCCAAGATTTTATCATAGAGGTTTGGAGGGTGTCCAAGGGCATTATCGAGGATAAGTAAGCCTTCATAGGAAGATTGTTCTTTTTGAGGAACATGTGGACTTGAGGGTGTAAAATGTTGTTGATCCATTCTACAAAAAAATTACCTTGTGACCCAAGCCTTACTGTTAGCCCTCCACATGACTTCTAGCTGTCTCTTCTGGATCTTTATGCACCTTGAACACCTGGGTGTTCTATGAATGATACACAAGCAAGGACTTGCTTTTCACATCACCGCTCACCTTAGCACAGACTATGAGAGTTAGCCATAGGCTTGTGGCCTTACATCTTTGGTGGTGATGTACATCCTCCTGGGCATTTTCTCATCACAGTTGACATATCCCTCCTTTGTGATAAGTGAACCGAACTCTTTCATGAATTCATTGGCTGCCTTTTTATCAAAACTGGCTGCTTCACCATGTTTCACAATGCTGTGCACACCAGTTCACTTCTTAAAATTGTTGAACCAGCCCCAACCAGCCTTAAACTCTTCTGCTGGAGTCTCTTGTGTCAATGATCGACTTTTGCTTGTGGAGATCTCTATATAGTAATCTGTTTTTTTTTTTTGTTGTTTTTGTTTTTTTGTTTTTTTTTGTTTTTTTTCAGCAATAATCATTTCTGACAGAGTATCGCCTGCAAGCTGCTTCTCATTAATCCAAAGGAGAAGCATCTTTTCCATCTCGTCATGGATATTTGTTCTTTGCCTGGACAGTCTGGAGACGCCCTTTGCTCATCCTTCTTCAGGATGGTGCAGATTGTTCAGTCGTATTGCCCTACAAAGTCTATTAGAAGCACTCCTCTCTCATATTTTTCTATTACTTCTTTCTTCACTTCTAATGTAATTAGCTTTTTCTTATCCCAATCATTAGCACTTACTTTCTTTGAATTCATCGTTAAATAAATCCAAAAGATGCACATTTCACAGAAAATTCTAGCACAAAATGATCAGGATGTTATTGCTATAAAATGAATACTTGAACTGAGCAAGGTGGGAGTAGGTAACTAAAAGAAAAGGGAGGCAATTGATAATGTTGGTAAGTGATGTTATCTGTGATAAGTACTTTGAAGAATTTTCTTCAATAAAAATGAATAAATATTCTGGATGTCGAGCGTTCCATGTATATGACAGTTACTTGTACTGTGAGTTTTTATTCATCCTACAATACAAAAATGCTCACAAATGGCAGTCTATAAAGTAAATTATTTGTTGTGTAATGGTGCACTTGTACTGCATGGTTATATATATATATATATATATATATATATATATATATATATAGAAAAATGTGTGTGATAGATATATATATATTATGTTAAATGGTTGTCATCCAGAGCTATAGGACCCAGTCTGTCATGTTATTTTACCCATAGCTGAGGGGAGAAGTAATTGTTTCATACCTTTCCCAATCGTTATTAGCACGTAAGTAAATGTGATGAACTTGACTGGAATTTGAACTTGGCACTCCAATTCCTCAATCCAAGCCACTAATCATTGCTCTACAGTGTCTCCTATCAAGAAATATGGTATTAAAAGACTCTCTATGCATTAAGACATACTACATATTCTACTTGGTAGACTTTTCTGAGAAAATGTTGCATTTAGCAATAAATTTGCCTTTGAGATTTTATGGCAACTTATTTTGGTACATTCTTTGCTTTTATTACCAAATAATAGGGAATTAGCTTTGAAGAACCAAAATCAAATTCCATCATTGTTAAAAACCAGTCAATCATCATTTAGCACTTGTGTTAATCTCTAATACAATGTAATGATATCTGCAATTTCATATAGTGTTATAAAATTTACAATATTAGTGATATATCTCATCAACCACTCCAGGACAATTATTGCTACCACTGCCTTCATCATTATCACTTAAGAATTACTATTGGATTCACTGCCAGAGTAAAAAATACCCAAGGATTAACTTTTATCTGCATGATTTTCTTTTTTTCTTATCTTTTGCTACATTCCAAACCATGTTGATTTTTATTTCCAGGAAATCAATCGTCAGCAAGATAAAGCAGTCGCTTCAATCAAGGATTGTCATAGATTTGGAGAAAAACTCTCAGCACTCTGTGGAGATCCAGGCAAAATTGAGGTTCAAAAGCAATTAGAAGACCTTGACAACATGGCAGAAGACCTTAATGATGTTGTTACAGAACGATCTGAAGAATTGAACCTTGCTCTGGGTCATGCTTACCAATTCCAAGTTGTTCTTGATGTGAGTTGGAATTTATTCTGAAAGAACTGTAACTCTGTGTACAAGATAAACAAAATAAATAATTAACCTGTAAACACTGACAGTAGAAAAGGAAGTCTGACAAAGTTTGAAAAATAAATGATTATGTACATTCCAAGCATTTTCTGATTCCTGATTTATGTGACTTAATATTCACCATTGAATTAAGTGCCTTAACAAGAAAGATTATTATTGTATTTGATAGCATATAACTGTTCTTCTATTTTCATTTAACTAGAGTAACCTGTAAAAATTTCATAGTTTTTCTATTTAAAGTTTGATTAATCATAATTTAATGATTGAATAAGTTCCTTACAAGTTCCATGACTACAAAACAAAACCCTATTGCCTCATTAAATATTTGAGCTTAATGACTCTAACAAAATATTGCAATAACAATCATAATTATGAATGAAGTCATTATTTTAAAAAAGTAAGAGTACAAATGAAAAGATTTGAAAGTGACAAGTTTTCTATTTCAGTGAAACAGATATTAAACATGTGTGAGCGTTATAATCTCCTTTACACCCTTGTGCAAATTAATTGAAACAAAACAAATAATTCCATTAGGAAACTAAAGCAATTTTTTTAATTCTTTTTCACAAGGGGGTATATTCCTTCTCTTTCTCTCTGACACAAACAGCATCTCTGATATGTCTTTTCCTCTTTCTGTTTTTTTTTTTTTTTTTTTTTTTTTTTTACCATGATGTTCATCCTGTACAAGTCCCAAGAGTCAATCAAGATAGAGGGTTACAAAGAGATACAGTTTATGGAGATATGTGGGGAAGACAATGGTTAACCCTAGACTTGAACAGATTAAGATTGTAGTGATTGGGGAAGCATCCTCTTGGGAGTTGTTTCCAAAAAGCAGAATTTAATAAGAAGTTTCTCAAGTGGAATTTGGATCTCACCAATGGAATACAAAGGGAATGAGAATAGTTCCATACAATGAGTATGGTATAGTCAGTCTTAGCCATGATGGTTTAGAACTGTAGGAATATAGTTTGTCTGAATACTTTCCATGGAAATAGTGATAGAGCAGTGATAGGTTTGCAACATTTTGTCTGTGGGGAAAGGGGTTGCAAGAAGGAAAATAATTCATCCCCCACAAGGATGCAGGGAATCTTCTGTACTCTATCAAGATAGGAAAGTGAAATGGGCATATATAGCAGCAGTACTCCATTTTTTTAGAAACCCTTTTGTCTTTTATGATTTCTTATCAAAGTATTTTTCCTTCCAGGCAATTATGTCTTGGCTGCCAGTTTCACAACATAAGCTTTCTACAATGAAATCTCCTTCAACAGATAAAAGTGTATTAAAAGATCAAATAGAAGAACTGAAGGTAAGTTCCAAAGGAAAGCAAATTGTATGAAAAAATCTGAATCTTTCTCAATTGAAGCCGATATAGTCACAAAAAAATACAATCGCTCATTGTATGTATTATTAATTTTTGAATAGTACTTATTTTTGCCTTAATTTTTAGTTACTTTTTATTGCAATTCTCAGATTCTTTTTATTATAATTATTACATAGTTAAGCAGCAGGGATCTCAAATTTAAAAACTAATCTTATCAGAGACTTGACTCATGCTAGCTTACAACAGCCACTGTAAATGTAAAATCAATTTTAGCTTAACAACAAAAATCTATATATACTCAAAAATTAATAACTTCAACATATTTTTAAACCCAGCAAATAGCTTTTAAGGATTGCAAATGCTAACATTAATTAAAAGCTCTTATAATTAACTTTTGACTAGTAATAATAATAATAATGATGATTTTAATTATTTTGTTGTTTCTTATTGCAACTTTTACTCTGACTATTGGTCTATCAGAAGTAAAAAGATAAACTGTCATTGAGACTTGAATTCTCATCACTTTGATCACAAATAAATTTTAAAATTTACATGATGATTTTTTTGTCAAAATTACTTAATTTTATTCAATATACATTTCTACATAATTATAATTATTTAATATTGAGAAAATTTTTCAAAATTACAGTATTTTGAGTTATTGACCCCTATAGAATTATAAAAAATACCACAAAAAAGAACTTACTCCATTGATTATAGAATATTCACAATTTCTCTAGAAAATTTTTATTTTTTTTTTTTAATCAGATTTTGGATACATTTGTTCAATTCTGAACAAATTTTTTAATTCCAGAAATTTTAATGCTAAACTTTGACTATTTGCATGCACTGATTAACACTAGGAATACCAAGTCATCCTAACGTTCATTTGTTTTATCCTGATACAAAACTTATTTTTAACAAATCAAGTGTTGCCACTTCAATTGATTAAAAACAATTGTAAATTATAAGTTCAATGAGACCTTGTAACAATTTGAACATGTCAGTATTTTTTCATTAACTTTTTCATTTTTTAAACACCTGTCCATTTATTTTTTTTTTCTTGACCTCAGCTCTTCAAGATGCAAACTCATCCTCATGTGACAGATGTTGACAGCTTAAATCAACACATGACAGCCCTCAACGACCTGTCTCCTGTAGCTGCTGAGTCTCTACTCAAACCTGTTGATGACGTAAATGAAAGATGGAAAGACCTCCTTCGTGGAATTGCTGACCGTGAGGCAAGTTATCTCCCTTAGTAGGCTTTTAATGAATAACAAGAGCAGAGAAATCAAGCATTAAGGGAAAATTTTGAATTTCATCCTTGATGAATAAAACTGGTTAATTCTTTTTATAGAAAAGCTTGGGTAAATTTATAAAGATGATCGTAAAAGAACCAATTCAGCTCAAACACAATACATTAAATATGTATGAATTAGTATAAACGTTTAGATTTTATCAGTGCAAAAGAAAGATTACTATAAAAAAATGTTGCCAGACTCAAATATTGGTTAAAAAAAATCTTTAGATGATTAAAAGCAAAAAAATGTCTTACTTCTCTATTACTTTTATCTCCCAAACACATGAATATGCTTTTGATACTGTATATTAAATTAAAAAAAAAATACATTGAAACGGATAACTAATATAAAATTCTGAGCTTTATAAATCTTTACAGAACGGATACACTTGATTTAGAGGGGAATGAGAAGATGTTACAATTTCTACTCTAATCTTTAGTACTTTGATGATTTATAAACCCAAGTCAGCATTTTGGAGTAATGAATAGTGGCTCCGATTGAGAAATCGGAGAGCCGAGTTCAAATTCTATTCAAATCCATTACATTCATTTACAAGCTAATACCCTTGGGAAAGGTATGAATCCTCTTCTTCTCTCCCAGCTATGGGTAAGTAGCAGAACAGACCGGATTCTATAGCCTTGGATAGCAACTGATCTACCACAGAAAGAAACGGCAACCTACTACAGGAAAAATCTACCTTGTCAGTCATGTATTGAAAGATGCATGATCACCTGAGTGTGTATCACGTATGGCACATGACTGACTGATATTAGCCCATTAAACACCTCCATCCCATATTTGGAACAGTAGGCTTTAATGGATTTATAGATAGAAACCGGATTAATGCCTAATGCTGTACTTTTTTTAGGAACCTATAATTAATGCTGAATTTTTCAAATGAATTTATAATTAATGCTAGATTTCTTTTATGAACCTATAAGGCTGGATTTTTTTTTTTTTTTTTTTTTAGGAACCTATAATTAATGCTGGAATTTTTATGAACCTATAATTGAGTTTTTTTTTTTTTATTTTAATTTTTATAATTGATACTGGATGTTATGGTGAACATTTAATGGATTAAGACAAAATTGTTAAATGATACATTGACTGCTACTCAAATATTGTCATTCCCTGTTTGATCCAGTTTAAGATGTATTACTTATGCATTATTAAAATTTATCTAACATTGGGGTTTTATATGCTTTCAAATACAGTAAGTTATTTACTGAAGTGATTTAACTTTTTATTTTATTACATAATTCTTATTTTTACTTTACCTTATGATGCTTATATGAAAACTTCTGCCTTAACTTCCCATAATTCCTCATTTTATTTTGTCTTCTCCAAAACTTGATTCATCATCATCATCTCTAATATAACTACTTCCCAAACTACTTCTCATCTCTGGTTGATGCTGCTGCTGTATAAAGGAGGAACAGGTAACCATATCAACACTGGTGTTGTCATGACCATTCCCCACTTCTTGCACAATGCTTTTCTATTAAAGTTAGAATATTACAATTTATTCTCCATATATTTAAATGAAACACCTCCACCAACAAAATTGTTTATCTCAGGAGTTCAAACAATGAGAATACAGTATGCATAGTTATAGACTCTTTGACCAAGAACCTTATAGCTATACACTTTGAAATATCAATCTGTTATGTCACTGAGGGAATTGTTGAAAATTTGGCTGCTTTTTCAATTGTATTGTCATCAAATTAAATTTTTGCAGGAACTGAATACAGAATTCATGTTTGAAGAGGAATAGTTGAATCTTGTTTCACAGTGAAATTAGATAAAAAATAAAAACAATAGAAATACATATAGATCTCTATCTAGTCAAAACAAATCGTCACACTTTCTATCTATAGGTTTATGGCCACATCATGAAACACCACACAAATTCCCTTATGATAAGTTAAGCAATGTCAAGCCTGATCAGTATCTAGTTGGCTGATTGCTTGGGAATACCAGGTGGTGTAATGGATAATGGCACAGAATTGTTAATCAAAGAATTGAGTTCTAATTCCTGTTAGGTTCATTATATTCACTTACATGCAAATACCCTTGAGAAAGGTATGAATTCACCTCTTCTCCCCAACTATGGGTTAATTAGTAAGACTCTTATCACTATATCATATTATCTCTCATATTTTTTATTTAATACAAAAAAATTTAAACAAGAATCCTATTTACAAGAAATATTTCTTGATTCAATATAAATTCGGAAAGATTTTTAATGAGCTTATCTAGTTTTTAAACTCCTCACTAGAAATGATTCAATTTAATTCAGAAAATATTATTGCATTGCACTTGTATTTTAATAAAGTAGATCCATATTTAGAGTTGCAATTATGGATCCAGAAAGCTTAATGTTTTTTTAAATTCTTCATGTGCATTAATTCACCTTGTATTCCAATGTCACATTTTTTAATCTTGATTTTTGTGTTATCCATCAACGCTTCAATGTTTTCCACATCCTGCTAATTTCTGTACTTATCATTCCTTCTATATCATCCACTATTGTACCCTAAAATTTTTAAATTGGTAAACATTTTGTCTATTGTAACATATGAGCTATAGAAGAAATAAATTATTCTCCCATTTGCATTTCCCCCATTATTGGCATTATTATATCTGATATAATAACACCTTATTTTATGGATGGAATTTAATAGCTGAAAGGAAAGGAATGCTGGATATGCTTTGTTCTCAGTTTATACTACGAAGTCATACATAAATATTTACATTTGCCCCACACAGGGAAACTATATGTATGCAACAATCATACCGGAATTGGAGCTGCTGGAGAGTCTTCTGTGTTTCTTGGAAAGATATATTAAGGCTTCCAGATTTTAGTAGGCAGGATTTATCTGCTATGTCACTAGCAAGGCCATATTCCTCTCAATTGGGGAAACCAAGATCCATGGGTTTTCCCAACATGAGGATTATGAGCTGGAGATAGTTTCCATATCTGGTGAAGATATATTTCCATAGGAAAACTGCAACATGGTCCTGTAAGCTACACCATGTGGCAGCTGGTTGGCCTGGGCAGAAAGAACAACTCTTAAGTTTAAACTCTAGGTAGTTAACTGATGGACTGGACACTTTTGTCACTCTATGAAGTGATGTTACTAAGCAGCCATCACATGACCCATGTGACTTCATTTCAACCAAAGGGGAACAATCACCTTTTGTATCTCTATCATTGGAAAGTTAATAAATATATTACCTAATATTTTTTTTTTTTTTTTTTTTTCAACAAAAATTAACTTTTGTTTGTAAGTCAGTTTAAAAGGACAATGTGATGAAAGTATCTATAAAAAGTTTGTTTAATTGATAGTTCTGTGGTTGTTAAAATTTTCATTTAAATTTATTTTAACCTGCCAAACTTTATGATAATGCAATGAAACAACTGGACTATCAATATCAGCCATATTTGTTATCCAAACCCTATCTACAATCATTTTTTCAAAATTACTTTATTTCTATCTCTATACTACTTTATTAAAGCAAATTACATTTTTCAATGAATTTATAAAGTTAGAAAGGAATTTTAATCATTTTTATTTCAGCTTCCTTTATCTGATTTTCTGGAAAATATTCAGAAGTTTTTTACATTGCATAATATGTAAAACTGTTATCATCATCAATTTTGTAAATTTGCAGAGACTTCTTTCATTAAGCAAAAGAAAACAGTTTTGTCCATGAATCCAATCTGACTACTTTTAAGTCTGTTGCAAAACAAACCTAATATTAATGTTAGTACAGTCAGTCCAATAACAACAACTCTAACCTTTCTGTATTTTTCTTTATCTTTTGATCTAAACAATTTTCTGCTCATTTGGGGAAAAATGTTTACATATTTTTTTTTTTTTTTAAATTTTAAAAATCTCCAATTATATTGAACAAAATGGTAAGTTAAAATCAACTTATTTTTTTTTCCTCTTCTAAAGAACTTGGCTAGTCTTTAAATTGCTTTATTTTTCAGTACATGAAAAAAAAAATTAGATTTTACATTTTCTGATTGTCAGAATTCAGTTTGCTAAATGGTTGTTTTTTGTGCTATTTAAACAGGCATGCCTTCATCAGACTCAAGTGAAAGTTGGGGAACTGGAGCACGCCATTGAAAGTATTATGAGTAACTTAGAAAATTCTAAGAAAGATTTGGGCACTTTAGATAACATCATTGGTGATCCAAAATGCATTGAGACTCAGATGAAAAAATTACAGGTAAGAGCTTCAAATTTAGTTGTTTAGAATGATTACAATTGATCAGCAGTTAATTTCTATTTACCAAGTTGTTTTGAAGATAATTCTTTTAATTAATCCTTAAAAAATGATCATGAGGGAAGGTGATAAATACTTGGTGTTTATTTGGGAATAAGTCATTAGGGGAAATGTTATATTTTACCTTGAAAGCCTTTTCTTTGTAATATTAATATTTCTCAAACTGCATATTTGAAATTTGGTTAATGGTCAAATGGACTAATCCTGCAAACCATTGCAACTTGTGGTTTTAGGATACACATTGCTATTTGGATGATTTTTCTTTCCATTATGGACTTTCAACTTTTAATTAATGAATTTATAAATAAAATATCTGCAATAAAGTCATTAAATTATAAAGAGGTATCAATGTCAGGTAATGGTTAATTAGATTATTGCTACTGTTATAAGTTTGATCCTCACTGGATGCTCTGCATGTGTATCCTTGTTTCAAAGTAAATAAATATTCATTGTGGATATGACATCAGTAAAACTTTGAGTCAAAGTTCAATTGCAAAAGGCATTTAGCCTTTTTTGCTTCATGATATTGCAACATGTCTTTTTTTTTCCCCCCTCCTCAGTTGATTCAAGATGACCTGAAGAACCAAAGCTCAAATGTTTCCAAACTGAATAAAACAGTGTCAAACTTGACATCTACAACTCAAGAAGAATCAAATTCATCACTTCAAGATAAAACACTGACGATGAATAAGTTACTTCGAGAGGTTCAGGTCAGTGCCAGGGACCATGAGAACAAACTTCAGGAAACACTGAGAGAGGTAAGTATATTTCTTTACTAGGCATTAACTTAACTTACAATGAAACATTACAGTCTTTTAGATTTAATGTTCAAAGCTTGAAAAGCCCAGTTTCACATGTTAAATTTCATGGTAGGAAATAAGAAAATTAGCTCTATACTCACTTCATGAAACTGTTAAGATTTGACAAAGGTTGACGTAAATTTTTATTGAATTATTTTGATGTTTGTCCACTTGAGCATACTGATGTAATAACACTTCACATAGTTTAAACTTTACTCATTTTGTGGTTATAACAATAATGGAAACCAAATAGTTCATTGGATTGTCAAGGCCAATATGATATTTACATTGTTAGCTACTTCATACTTATGTGGAGTTATTTGTTGTGAATGTAACAGCAGATTAAGTGGAGTGAGCTGAATTTACTTTGTGAGACTAAATGAGTATTGGGATTGAAATTATAACAAAATAAAAAAATAAGAATCCAACCAGATCATAAAACCAATGATGTACTGTTACTTATACTGTTGTGGGGCCCAAATGTTGATGTTACATAAACCCTGAAAGCATTAAAATTGCCTAGGTAAGGATAATGAGAACAAGGAGTCTAGATAAAATATGCCCAAATTTATTATTGGCAGAAAAGTACAATCAAAGAATCCAGATGTTTTAAATACACTGGGGGTTGTTCTAGTAGTTAACTGTTGGTCTTAGATGTGTCGGCAGTTGATGATGACCGGAGCAACTTGAGTGGTGTTGAAGGTTGATAAACAATTGGTATATTTGGTTGGTACTAGCTGGCAGTCATAGTCCAGGGCAGATGGTTGTTGGTAGTTTGAAGATGAAACCACTTGGGAAGTGTCAAAGGATGATAGGCAGTCAGTGAAGGTCAATACAGGCCACTGGTCAAAATCTGCCCAGACTCTGCACAAGTGGAGTCAAGCCCAAAACTGGTCTTAGCTTATCATTTTTTTGAGGGAGGGGGGCTCCTCAGCACCACAACCCACCCCAAATGCCTGGCCTCAATTCAGCATGCTGATTTTATGGCATGGTAGTGTTACAACAGCACAGGGTTTTGACACTACTTCTGGTTATAAATGAGTCATAAAAATAACTCTCTCGGTGATGAAGTATAATGTAATTGGTCATAATAAAACTACAAACAGGAAATGGTATTGGTTTTGGATAATAAGCATAAAATGTCTCTGAAATGATATACAGAATTAATAAACTTGAACAGACTTTTCAAGGTTAAATTGAAAGTCTATTTGCTGAAACAAAAATAACAGTATGTTGCTATGATAATACTATAGTGGGATGAATAGAAGAAGATTATGATAATGATGATGCTCACAATAGCTTAGATGAATTCTTACTAAAGTTGACTTAGAAAGTTCAGTCCTATCAACTTGTAAAAACTGCCTTTGTCATTTGATTTTCTGGCCTTTCAAGAAGGAACATTGCTATACTTTGAAAAAGCCATTAGGCTTGTATTGTGAAAATAAAATTAATCTGATTTGTAGTTTGTGTCTTCTGCTCATAATACTCCAAACCCCAAATCTGCCCTTTGCCACCTTGTTTCTCTTCATGCAATGTCCACCCCTTTTACTCCCAGTTCCTTTTAACTTGATGCTTACTACTATTTCCCCTTGTCTTAACTTTCCCTTTCCTTCTTAATAATACAAGTAAAATCAAGAATACATTTATGAAGTAAGCCTAAAGATGCAATTCATTTGTATTGAAGTCAGAGTACTGGCTTAATGATAGCATGTGCAGACTAACAAGTAACATAAGAGTTGAATGTTTTTGATTTAACTTTGCATTTTATTTCACTCCAATACATCATCATTTGCTCTCTGCCAGTCTTTGGTATGGTCCCACAAAGCCCCTGGTTAAATGTGTGGAACTTACATTCTGTCTGCTATTCTCTGGAGCAATTGTTTACATATCCATCTGCCCAATGGTTTTTCTTACATATGTCTACTTTGAATACATACAAGCCAACAGGTGTTCACCACACAGGGTTACCACTAACAATGAGTGAATCACTGATCTCTAGCCCTGGTGAGTCATCTCAAGTCAAACTTAGCTTCCTAGGTCTGGTGTGAAATTGAGTGCAATATCTATTTTTACATAATACTACATATTACTGTAAATACATTTTTTGAAATGTCTAATTGCTACTTATTAATATAGAATTTTCTTTCATTTCTGGAATAACTTTTGAAAAGCACTGTCCATTTGGTTAGAAATCAAGCAAAATATCTGAAAAACCTAAGAATTTTAATAAGCAGCATTATTAAAGGTCAAAATATTAAAAAAAAAAAAAAAAAAGGTGAAAAGTGACCTTCTCTTGAATCCAGAAATCCAAATGGTTTTAAAATAAAAGATTAATAATAACAGGTTTTACATAATTTCTGCAATTCCAAAAACCAAACCAACATATAGGAAGTGCAGAAAAGTTTCAAGCTTAAACAAGAAGTGATTTTTAAAAAAAAATAAAAAAATAAAAAAAAAATAAATGCTGTTTAATCAAAAAGTAGGTCAAATAAATAAATTTTAAGAACCCATTTAACTCACTAGAGTTCATTCCCTTCCCTTTAAAAATTTAATTAAGTATATTAAAATACAAGTAAATGTGGTAATTTTTTTTTTTTTTTTTTTTTTAACTTGATGTTAGTTTTTAGCATTTGTTTTAAAGAAAATATATGACCATTAGTGCAGTATAGTTGAACTGCTTTTTTTTATCCTTGGGTTGATTTTTAGATTTTTTTTTTTTTTTTTTACAGACTGATTAAATTTCTTCAAAAAATGTAGATATTCTTTAAGAATCCTTATAAAATAATGAAGAAAATTTCAAGAGATGTATTGAGGTGTAGTATATGATTCATACCAGGAAACACCAGATGTCTGAAAGCTTTGTACTCAGTGTCACAGCAGAATGTTAAAAGAACTGGGTGCTTTAAAAAGTTGACTTAGGTGACCCCATAGCCAACAATTGAAGAATTGAGCTTCAAAGCATGACACTGGTTTCATAAATGGAAACAGAAAGTCAACCCAAATGAACTTAAAAGAAACACACACAAGACAGGAAGTTATATAAACACACAAACCATGAGGGGGTGGGAATGCATAGATCTCCTCATATTCTAGTGAGAAGTTAGAACAATTGAAGAAAGTCTTCAAAAACCACATATCTTCCACAGCCGACATTAATTTGACAAATTCCAGATGTGAACGAACAATTATTTTACACATTAAAAATGTAATCTTTTATTCTTATCAAATATTGCTAATATAACATTACAGAATATTTTTGCAATGAATCAATAATAAAATTTGGCTGAAATATATTTTCATAAAAATACAAATACATTTCTTAATTGTTGGTTCTATTAATACTGTTTAGCATTTTATTTGAAAAATTTCAAATTTTTATTTTTTATCATTCAAAATTTGATTTCTAATCATTTGCCATTTTGTTATGGTTTTACAAGTCAAACAAATGTATTGCTAATTCCATATCTTTATTTATATTTTTGTAAACTATAAAAATTTATTTTTATAATTAGTAACATACTTTATTCTTTCAGGTAAAAAAGTTTACAGGTGATGTTGATGACATGTTGCACTGGGTAAATGACCTCAGAATGGAGTTGAAATCAAAATCTCCATTTGGGGCTCTACCGGAAGCAGCCAAGTCCCAACTGGAAAATTTCCAAGTAAGTTTAATCATCTCTTCCTGTTAGTACTAATCCATTAATTTACATATGGAAACTAGCCTTCATGTGGATAGTGAACAAGTTTAGTGTATACACAAAAATACAATTGCAATTCTCAGGTCAGTTTTACATTTTACAATTGTTACGTAAACAGCATGTATTAGAAATAAAGAATTAACTTATGAGAGTATTTGAACTCTCATCCCCTACCTTTTTTAAAATGTGAATTTAAATCGCACCAGCTGCTAATTCTTTATTTCTGGTTTATTGATTGATATTTTTTGTGTGTTATTTAAAGCTGAAACATATTTTAAATGAATTTTGAAGAATTCTTTTGTTTATGAGTGCATATTATATTAACAATTTGGGGGATAAAAATAAATTCTATAACAATACATTATGTCCTACTATTAAACCCATAGCTGGAGGGAGAAGATATTGATTCATACCTGTCCCAGGGGTATTGGCATGTACAGTGTAACCCGGATATAAGAGAGTTGTCGGGACTGGAGAAGAAGTCTCTTATATCAGGGTTTCTCTTATATCTGGGTTACACTGTATATTATTTATATACAAACGAGATGAAATTTGATTAACTCAGCTCTCCAATTCCAAGCTGTTATCCATTACACCACCCGTACATCCCCCTTATTTCTGCTTGCTTTCTGGTCATAGAATCTGAATTTTCTGGTAAAAAGATAGCAACAAATCAAAAAAAGAAAATCTAGCTAAAAAATAATGATAATTCTTCTGTCAAATGGGGATCAAATGTACAAAAAGTTGTTTATATACTAAAAATTTTATCTGTAAATAAAGGTTATTTGGAATACCAGGTGCTTTAAGCTTGGGTGAGTGGGTAGTGTAATGGATAATGGCTGACAATTAGAAAGCAGAGATCCAAATTCCAATTCCAGTCAGGTTTGTTATATTCAGTTACATGCAAATACACCTGGGAAAGTTATGAATTTGCTTTTTCTCCCTCAGCTATGGATTAAATAGGACTTGTATCAGTAAATTATTATCATCTCCAAAAAAATCTTACAAACCCTAAATAATTTCTGGCTTTAACTAACCTACAAATAAGCTATAAAAAATAAATCCATCAAAGTATTATATAGGAATAAAATGTCACTGCCAACACTTGAGTTTGAACATAGATCGCCAGTGAGCAAACACAGACGATCCCATTATTGAATTAAGTGGATCACATGACCATAGAGGAAACGCATACATAGAAAGCCATGAGACATCTAGATTGATTGCTATTTCCTAGTCTATCCTCTATACTATATGGATCGCTATTTCTATTCTATCCTCTATTATGATATGAACCACTATTCTCTACTCTATTCACTATACTATTTCTCTATATGGATTACTATTTGAGCAAGTATTATCATGTGAGTGATATTTGAAAGTGTCTGACACCAACATTGTTCAACAGCATACTATAGTTGTATTTGCAATTACAAAGTCTCTACTACAACAAGCATTATGTAAGTGACAATGAGTATTCATTGGCATCACAAAAGTGACGAGTGTTGACATCACAAAACAAAGGTTATTCAATTTTGTTCTTGTCATTGCTTTCAATTAGCTTTTCAATAAATTCAGTTTCCACATTTTGAAAAAAATTAGTTAATTGGCATATTTAATAGCATATAAGACACTTTTATTTTTCCAAAAATAGAATTTCATAAATAAAATATAGAAAAAAAACTTGTTTTAAACTGAAAAAGGGAACATTGATGAAGTTCCTGTAATACTTGATTATCCAGTAATTTTTTTAATATTTCCTGCTTAAATCAGATGTTGTCTACTAAAAAGTGAGGAACCACCAATATGCTTTCCATGCCAGGAACCATATACCATCAAACACATTCTATTAAATTGCTGTAACTTCCAGTTAACCCAAATCAAACTCTATAAATCGGATAACTTAAAGGATCTATTTGAAAATACCAATCCAAGTAACATCATAAATTTCATTAAAGAAATTGGGCTCTACAGGAAAATATAAAAAAAAAAAAACTATTTACCAAATTTCCTTAATTATATATTGTTTGTATCCTATTTTGGAAGGAAAAATTATACAATACATTTTTGAAGAAAAATTATTACCAGCAATACGTTTGACTCTCAACAAAATCCCTCTTTATAAAATATGTAAATGAAAATTGATCTACAAAATGATTCTTTACAAAGAATACATACTTTATTCATGCGAACCTGTCAGAAAAATCTTGTTGGCATTAAATAACCCTTTGAGGTTGATGTGCTGTTAAATTAAATAAACTAGATCTTGGGAGTCTTACATGATATCAAGTGTAGTGCATTATGAATATTATCAACAATAGGTTAAAATTTATATTCAAATCCTCACAAAATATTTTCATTATAATCGGCATTAGAAATCTAAATATCTGAGATGTAATTCAAGTATAACATTTATGAAATAGTTTTAAAACAATTTTTCTATAGAGCTTTCTTTATATAATGAAATTTTTTTTTTTTTTTTAATTTTATTTTATTTCAGAAACGCTGTATTGAGGTTGAAATGAAAGAAGATGGAGTAAAGTCATTACTGCTGAATGGACAAGACATGATTGACCGATGTCGGCCAGAGGATGTGAGACAGCTTAGTGAAAAGTTAAGGAAATTGAAGGACAGATGGTATGAAACAAAAAATAGAGCTCTTCGAAGGAGAGTAAGTATTTTTTCTCCAACTCTGCTTCTATCCCAAGACCTTAATTATGCAACAGTGTTGAAAAGTTCTCAGCCCAACCAAAAAAGGATTTGAAAACCAATTCTGATTTCTAATCATTTGATCAGATTTCGGGAAATGAATCTGGTTTAAAACTTTTTAGCACCTTCTCAAAAAAAGACATTCTGATATACATTATGATTCTTACTATTACCTTATAGGACTAATAGTATGAAATATGAGTTAAGCAATGCTGAGCCTAGTCAGTACTTGGGTGGGTAACTGCTAGGGAATACCAGGTACTGTAAGCTCTGCAAAATGCCTAGCAGTGGATACATTCTTTCTACTTGTACTAAGAGAAGATCTTGAAAGGTGGAAGTGTTTCTGGAGTGACAGGAAGCAAGACCTACCTGGAGTTGTGGGAGTGAATGAGTGACTAATACTACTTACTCTGATGAGAAATACAAGAAATAATAAACTATTTTAGTATTAATTTAAATCTGGTTATCAATTAATATATAACAGGGATGGCCAAACTTGTTTTAATATAAGAACCACATACAATAAAAGTCAGATATTTGAGAGCCACAAAGCATAAAAATTACTCTATTGGACTTGCGGATTGATAATTCTGCCTACAATCATTCCTTCTCTCAGCAATTAAGAACAATGTTGCACTCAAATCTAGTACTAAAATTAGGATTAAATTGAAATATTTTTAATAAACATCAATTTAAATATGAAGGTCAGTCAAGAAGGAATGCTTGCTCTAATTTTAAAAGCATTTGTTAGAATTCCTTGGGATTTTGCAGCTATAACCAATAAAATGTATTGTTTTTTCCTATATTTGAATTCAGTGAGGTCAAAGTTCATACATATTTTTAATCATTTCACCCCAAACAAGGAAATAAAGCCACTAAGATGCAAGGGGGTTACTGAGTGAGAGAATGAGAAAAAAAGAAAATACTATTAAGGAGAAAGAATAAAAGAACAGGAATTGAGGAGACAGAAGATATTGGTTAACATTGCATTTAAGTTTTTGAAGATCAAAGTTAACTGGATAGCAAAAAGTAAATACTTGATAAATAATTATAAAGTTTGATGTTTTTTCTAGTTAGTCAATGCTATAAAAACAGTTAACATATTAAAATAGGAGAAGAGGAAATTAGAAAAGAGGAAAGAAACTATAGCCGCAATAAATGGAAATATGAAAAGAAAAGGAAAACAAATTATCTATAGAATCAGCTGACCGGTTTTCATTCCTCTCTCATCAGAGTTCAGTCAAGAAATTAAAATATTGTGCACACGGAATAAAACCAAGAAAGTTGTGGTGGGGGATAAAAAGTACACAGGTACCGTCTTTTAGTTGGTGTTTACACTATTTTAATTCTTCAATTCAATTAGAGGGGAACAAAAATGATTTTTAACATTCAGAGATATATAAATCTGAGCTGGGAAGTCTTTTCAAATGGTTATACACTAAGTAGTGGCGTGTCTGTTCCACAACTACACTAAGTAGTGGCGTGTCTGTTCCGCAACTACACTAAGTAGTGGCGTGTCTGTTCCGCAACTACACTAAGTAGTGGCGTGTCTGTTCCACAACTACTACTACCACTGCTGGTATCATTCTCTTAGCACCTAATATATACATATATAATACGTATTTATAAAAAAGCAGTAAAACTGTAAGAAGAATATTCTCTGAGAATTATCCATCAGCCATTGATAATCATAAGTTGATCATCAGTTTTGAGAACAAATGACAAACTCGGTGATGCAATATACTGAGTCTAAGCATAAAATTCATATAACATATTCAAAAAACAACAAAATTACAACATAATTGCCTACAAGGAATTAACTTTTACCAAAATATAAGAACACTGGAACCATAACTGCTGACTTCATGTTTATCCCACTCAGCCACAAATAGAATTTATGTCATTAACACAAATGGTAATCAGATCAGAACTCACTAATATAGCCATCAGGGGAGACTAATTATATAATATTGTCAGCTAATTAATCATTTTGTCATTCTCTTTGTTTAAATGAATTATTAACCTTAAACTTGTTACTATTCATTCATTCAAATATAATCAGTCAAAACAAATTATATTCAAAATGGCTGGCTTATGTTGTTAGACTATTTGTTTTACATACAGTTAATGTATACTTAAGAAAATGCATTCTTTAGAAATCATGTATTCATAATTGAGATCATTATCTTTTTGTCTTAATTATCTTTGTTCTCCTATCCTGTTTATAACACTTTCATCTTTGCACAATGTCTTCCATTTTGAAATCATTGGCTTGAAATAAATAATTGCAAACTATTTTCTTTTTGCAGGATAAGATGCAGGGTCATCTGAAAAATGTAGAGGACTTTCATAACACTCTGAAGGAATTTACTGATTGGCTAAATAATGCAGAGACAACAATGAGAACTTTTAAATATCCAAGCAAATTAGTGGGAAAAGTTCAGAATCAAATTGAAGAGCACAATGTAAGTGCAATTTATATATTTTACACAGAGGAATTGTTTGTAAAATCGAATTGAGAAATTTTTTGTATTTTATCAGATGATAATCAGTTCAACAAAACATTATTGAAAAGAAAAATGAATATGAAATTAAAACATCAAATTTTCTCGGTTAACATTCACTCATTCACTTTTGGGGTAACTTAAATATGAAGGTCAATCAAGAAGGAATGCTTGCTGTAATTTTAAAAGCATTTGTTAAAATTCCTTGGGATTTTGCAGTTATAAGCAATAAAATATCTTCTCTTTTCCTATCTTTCTTTCAAAATGGCTGCAGTTTAGTGCAGTTTATTAGCTATTCAAAGGTCTGTGTAAAATGGGTTTTTATAAAAGAGCGGGAGTTGTTGCTTCCCAAGAGATTCTGAAGTCCTAACATGGCACCCTCAGATTTTCATCCATTTAGGGTCATGGAGGAAGCATTCAGGATAGTCATTCTCCGGTGATAATGAGGTTAAAGAAGCCCCTGTCACTTGGCTAAGAAAGTAACCAAGAAGCTTATATGAAGTGAGTAAACATGTCATTCAAAGGTGTAATATTATTAAGAATGATTATATTTGGAAACCCAAGACTGTCGGGATGCAAAACATTCACACACTTTAAAATAAAAAAGGAAAAGAAAAAAAAAAATATATATATATATATATATATATACACACACATGTATTGTCATATGACCGGATATATTGTAGCGTCTTGTTGAACGTAATTTCAATGAAGAAATGAATTGAATAAACATATATATTTCTTTCTTTTCTCAATAATATTGTAGTTTTGAAACTTAATAGTGATTAAATTTGGATTTTAAAATTGCCAGTTTTAATTTTAATATTAAATTTTATCATATAATTTTATAATTATTGGTTAGTATAAATTACTTTTAATATTACATGTATTTTAAAGATCTGAATAGATATTATAACATGATTTCGTTGTGAAGCTTTTGAATCTTTCTATACTTGATTTTTGATTGGTTATTCTAGCTTTTGTAACAATGTTTCCCCCTAGTGTAGGATCGTTAATTAATCTGAAACTTTTAAAACCATTTATTTTATTTTCAACATCATCACTTGATAAGACACAGTGTGTTGAAACAAAATGGCTATTTTTGTAGTGATTTTATAACATACTTATGTTATAATTTTTTTTATAAAAAATGTGAGTGTGTATATATTTATTTTAGGATATTATACTGAAAACATCAAAATTGCTACAGAAATGCAGTCATGTTTTGATACATATCAATGCATTTCATCAGGTGATTGTAAATTAATTTACAATCAGCTGATAACATGCACTGATACACATTAAAACGTGACTACAATTGTATAGCAATTTTGAAAATAAAATAATATTGCTCTACTTTGTATTGAGCCCTCTCTTAAATCAAATGTTACAAACATTGGAATTGTACCCTATTTGTTTTCATCTTACCTGGAGATATATATATATGTATGTATGTATGTATGTGTGTGGGAAAGAAACCACAAGAGAGAACTATATATACATTTTTTTTTTTTTTTTTTTTTTTTTTTAACAGGTATTCAAAAAACAATGTACAAAGCCATGCAGATAAGATGCACAAGTTAGATCGTACGGGTACCTACTTGAAATATTTTGGGCGGAAACAAGACACTATTTACATCAAGAATTTACTGGTTGGAATTCGTTTGCGCTGGAAGAAATTATTGCGACGAACAGATGAAAGAGGACGTCTACTAAATCAAGCATTCAGTGAAGATAAAAGAGTAAGCTGAATAAATAATTTTATAAAAGATTTTAAGCATTTTTCATTTTTAATACTTTATGTGCTATAATTCTATTTATATTTTTTTGCCTCTGATATTCTTGCAAAATGGTAGGGATATAAATGATGTATCATAGTGATTAATGTGTTTATCATTCATTTTGACTTTTGTCAGTAGTATATTCGACTAGTCACATCAGTCACCAATTGTTAGGTTTGACTTTACACACTAGTGAGTATCCCCAAGAAAACACAGAAAATAGGGTGTAAATGAGACATGATCAGATTTACATAGAGAAACATTTATTTAACATAATTAACAAAATGCTAGAAATAAACAATATTTACAAAGTTATATACATTGTAAGTACTTACAATCATAACTTCCACTCTAGCTACCCTAATATCAATCTGGAGGATAATAATTGTATTTAACTACATATTAAAGTTATAAAGTCTCCTTAGATCATGCCTATGTTATTTTATTGCTGTCATGTCACCAATTTATGGTTTTTTAGGGGTTTTATAACTCCTACACTAGCTTTAAATCGAAAAGTGTAAGCTGCTGCTGCTATTTTTGTATGCCTATAACAGCAATAAAAATAATGTATATAATATGATTCAAATTCCATGAATGGATTTATTTGGCAAAAATAACACATCACAGATGGAATTAGAGAAATATTATTAAAATACTTGACTGGCAAATAAAGCAATTTACCATCCAATAAATAACTTAGTGTAGGGGTCAGTGATGTGTAGGGAGGTGTATTTGGGCTTATCTCAATGATAATTTATGTGTGTTACAAAAGCTGAAAAAAATATTCATATCTACATTTAAAGAGGAAAAGAAACTATTACTAATAGCTGCATAAAATAATGATACCTTTATTTTGTAAAATAAATTAAAAAAATTTGTTCACAAATTTTCATATAGAATATAAAATATGATGGCTATAATACACTGATGACTGAGTAATGATATGATTTTGTATGAATAAAAGGTTTTAGAGAAAAAAGCTGAACAAATTTTAATCAATCCAAGATGGTTTATATATAAAGGCAATTTTTTGCTCTCACTATGTTCCATTTTATTAAAATAAAAAATATCATTTTGATCTATAATCAACTTTAACATGACAATCTTTTTTTTTTTAATATTTACACTCTAGTAATTTTACACCAAATTGGTATCATATCCAGCATTAAATCATGTAAAGACTGACTTGCTGAATCTTAGATGAGAATTAATAATAGAAATTTGTACCATACCATTTGGGAATACAGTTTGATTGTTTATGATGTACTAATACATTGGCATCCTCACTTTTAATTAAAATTTTAATCTTCAAATTGCATCTCTTATTTACATGTGGAGAAAACCTGAAATGAAATGACTTTCTAATTTAGGATTTTCCCCTATTCCTAGTTGGTTTGAAAATAGTGAAGAGTTGAGAAAATTTTCGCTAAAGGGAAGACAACTCTCATCTTAATTACTCTAACATTGAAAGTGACTCACCACAAACTCATATCATGGAAATAATTTATAAATGTATTAAAGGAAGAATTTATTAAAATAAAGCAAAATATCTTATAAGTTGCTCTGGAATGAGTCTTTTATTCATGTTAACTTTTTTTTATTTTTTTTTTTTTTTTATAGATAACAAAACTCTTAAATTCTCTTTCAGTTCTATGAATCCTGGAAGAATTTGTGTGACTGGCTTGATTCTAGTGAAAAAATGTTGAGCTCATTTTTGACTCCCCAAAGTCAAACAGCATCAAATGGACAGTCTACAAAGATGAAAGAGGACATGGAAGAACTCAAAGTATGTTTGTATTTTGCTTAGAAAATGTTGAAAACTTGTTCTCTTCTCTGCAGTTCTACTTGCATCCCCATATCTTTCTCTGCTAATTTTCATAAAACAATTTATTTTTCTTTCAGAAGATTAATTAAATTATCAGGTGAGGAAGGGGTTTAATACTGTAGAGGAGTTATAACTCTGAGTAAAACATTTATATATACAAAAATATTTGTAAAAATGAGAAACAACAAAATAAGTATTTATTATCTGGTTGTTATAGTGTGTTGGAGAAATGAGAGAATAATACTGAGTAAAATTGTGAGTTTTTAGTTAGATGTAGATCAAATATAGATTGGAATCTGACAGAATGATAAGATAAAGAATAAACAAAGTGTATAAAGCCTTTCTCATGTGTATTTTTTATAGATGTGTGTAATGAGTGACCAGATAATTTAGTTAGAAAAGTGTCTGGGTGTTTTCATCCCTCAGATTTTTGTTGAGTGCTAAAAGATAAGTGTTACTATTATGGCCTGAAGAAGAAAAAGATTAAATTTTCTTTGTGTACATGTTAACATGTCAGTGTGAACTGCTTGTCTGATAGTGAGAATGTCACATGTTTGTGTGTGTAGAAGAGAAAAATGGAGTCAATTCTCATTGGTTTAGAATGAGTGAATTAATGATAATTATGATTTATTTTATTTAATTATTTTTGACAGTATAATTCATTTTTTTATAGACATGACACCACAACAGTATAATTAATTTTTTATTTAGGTATTTCTTTATGGATATGACATAATTAAATATGGATATAATTCAAGATTACTTTGAAAAAAAAAAAATAAAACAATATGGCTCTTATTTACATTCAGACTAATATACTAATCTTTGTTATTATTCAACAACAATAAAAACAAAGATGAGGACATTAGTCTAAATTTAAATAATGGTATGGGGGATAGGAGGTTATCTTTTAACATCTTTTACCGCCATATATAAAGTTGTATTTGATCTGGGTGTATATTGGCCTTGTGCAATGATTTAAATGAAATGTAGAAAGTGTGGAAAAATACAATATAATAATACAGAAGGATAAGTTGAAGTTTCAAGAGTAAAAGTCCTGATACATACCAGGACTTTACTCTCTGATAGAAAGAAATGTGTGTGTATGTATGTATCAAAATGTAGTAGCTGCTGTTTGACTACATGGTGAAGGTAAGTTTGTTTCCAATATAGCAAGTATGGGTTAGCCATCAAGGTTTGCCAGCTAGTTGTGCAATTTTTTTTTTTTTTTTTAATCTCTCACTTCATCGGGCTGTGGTTTCTCTCCCTACCCACTACGTTAGGGCTCCAGTTTCTTTTTTTAATTTTTTTTTTTCCCAATGCATTCATTGTTTGGACTTGTGACCTCATCTTGATTACTACTGTCATAATATTTTGTATGCTTCCATCCATGGGGTTAAATTGTTTTCATCCCATTGTCCATAACAAAGGATTTATAATAGCTGTTATCTATTCCACTGAACCTAAGAATTTAAATTTTGTTGCATAACCCAACCCAAATGCAAATCAGTGTATAAAATTGATAATTACTTGTCTCAAAATTTCAGACAAAATTTTTCTTATAGTTCTGTAATGTTGCTTAATATCCTGCATGATTCTACTTGCAAACAATTATATTTTTAACTTTGAAAAATCAATACAATCAATTAACAGAACTAAAACTTAAACATTTTCTATATTAAGTGCTTACTAAGAGACTATTGTAAATAATTTGAAAGCAACAGCATTGTCAACCATTATTAAGTTTTGACTAGTATTGCTTTTTCAGTTGAATTCTACTTGTTTTCAGACGATTTAATAATCGTTGACAAAGCTTCATCAAATAATAAAAAATCCTTATATTACAAGAGCACTGTAAATTCATTGATTCCTTTTTCAGTTAGCTTCTGGGATACAGATTTTTTTCCTTTCTTCAATAACTATTTTATTTGTTTTCATTTTTTATTGTTGTTTGTTATCTTTTTGCTGCATCAGAAGAAACCTGTGGACATGGACACTCAAATAAACCAGTTACTGCGAGTGAAGGTATAAGCTATCCCTATATATACAAAAAAACTATATGGGCATGAATGTCAATTTGGCTTATTTATTGTCTTCATTTCTTCTCAGTTTCTTTGCAATATTTTCTTTCTCTTTAGGTTTTCTTTTCTTTTTTTTCTCAAGCTGGATTCTTTACCAAAATGCATGATTGCTCAGTCAGTCGCAAGAAAAAAAATATAAAGAACAAATCATTATTTTAACATTTTCTGTTTTTACTTTTTTTCTATTCTTCAGTCTTAATTTTATATCAAAGCATGATTTTAAAAACATAATATGTCTGTCCCATAATAATTGTTACATTTGCATATATATTTCATGCACCAACAACTATTATGGGACAGAAGTAGTAATAATTTAAAACAAAATTGAAAAATAAACTTACCCAATATTTTTAATTCTTTATTAATTCTGAATGAAGTGCTATTAATAAGCATCTAATTACAATTCTACAATAGTTTTCATTTATAATAAAATGCATGTACACAAAGAAACTACACTGAATTAGTCACTCCAACTAATGAAAAAATGATTGACAGTTTTAAAAATGTCAAAATATTAATGTTAACATTTTTTAAAAGCATCTTTTTAATACGTTTTAGTAGAGTTGGCTTTTTGAAAGAGAAATACATTATGAATGATTTGCTGGATATTCCCATATCATCAGATTATAAAAGTACTGATGATAATTTTTATTATTTAAATAGGTGTAAGCATGCCTAAAAAGAGATACATTTTTCCAAAAATGATTTGAAAATTTCTGATATTCAAATGATTATGGTATAAATGATGAAAATTACTCTCAAAAGTCAAATGTTTAGTTTCTATAAGTGAATACTTATAATCTATATATTCAGTAGAAAATTAAATTAGGCAAATATTTCTGTGAATTTATACATTTGCCACCATTATAATAAAATTCTAATTAAACACTTAAGCCAAAGATTCTTTCCACACCATCTTTTTGTTCTATTTTTTTAAAACCTTTGAATAATTACTTTCAATTAAGAGATTCATTTAAATGAAAATGTATTTTTTTTTTTTTTCAAAGATCCCTTTTAAAGTACAAGTAATTCTAACATTCTTTTTCTTGAAAAGCAGCCCGTAAACCAGTGGTTCCCCAACTTTTTTCTCTGGGCCACATTTCCAGAATTAAAATTTGCTTGCAACTCATCAAATTTTATGTGATAAAAAGTATATTTGAAAAAAAAAAAAACTGAGGTTTAAAGGGAGATAACCACGCATTCAGAGTCAAAACATTATCATTGATAACTCTCTTGGCAAATTTGCAGACCCTAGTTACTATATTCTTAACACTTGATATAATGCAAAAATATCACAATGATGAAGTTGGTCAATAATTATTTATACCAAGACTCATGCATGCAATTACAAGTAATCCATAATATATTTAAATTTTTGGCATATGAATTTTCTTTAAACTGTTTATAAGTCTTTCATTGTCTTTCAATCATTCCGCCTCATCTGCTATCTGCTTCTGCCACACTTATGAGGTGCACTGCATCGTTTGGGAACCACTGCTGTAAACTAATTTTTTTTTTTTTTTTTTTTTTTTTAGACTTTTAGCAAAACATAAAGCAGATTTCACTAAAATTAAAACAAAAAGTATTTTAACATTTTAGAAATTTAAAATGAAAACAATTTGATGACAGCTCAAAAAATGGAAGATTCTATCAAACATCTTGAAATTGTTTTTATATATATATATATATATATAAAATATCTGTCTGAAAATTATTGCACAAAACTCTGAATAGCAGATTTTAATATTGTATTAATAATATTATAATATATTTAAGCTCTATCAACTTTGGCTTTGAGCACTTGGATTATTTTATATTTTAAACTTTAGCTTTTATTACCTTTTGTGTGCAAGTATGTATATGTAATATATAATACAAGTAAAAGGCTTGTCACTTAGCTGATTGATGTTACCCTTAACATCCCAGCTCCAGAGTTTCGTAGACAAACTATCTGGCAATACTCGTCAGGAAGTATCATATATATATATATATATATATATAGCATGTCAGGCCACTTAATAGTGTCATTGATACTTTGTAACCAAGTACTACCTGCTTCTTGGTCAAGCGTTTCATCAGCAGGATTACCTGGTGAGAAGAGTGGCTGCAATGACGGAAAATAAAATCCCTAAAAAAAAAATCTAGGATTGAAGCACCTTTTGGGCTCTGCATTGCTGTGTCTCTTGATAAAGGACACTCTGATGTCGTATCTGCAATCATTGCTACACCAGATGTCCTAATCTGGTCTGTCTCTGGATTATCTAATTTTGATAGTTAGGGTTGACATGATCCTGTGTATATATAGATTATAACAATTAAGTTTTAAGATATCACAAACTTCTTTATAATAACTTAATATTTGAAAATGTCTTTAGTAAATAATTCCAAATTTAAATTTTTTTTCTGTTCTGCTGTAAAGTCAATAGATTTGTAAAATAATTTTTTTTGTTTTACATTCTTGTGATCTGTTAAAATAAGAAAATCCTAGTTCATTTGTTGTTCACATATAAATATTATACTCTTTGTGTTTTCATTGTGATATTGTCACCATTCTGTGTTCATAAAATTTATATTTTATATGCCATAAAGAATGGACTCTACCAATTTAGATAAAGTGTTATTTAGTTTCTTTGGTTTAATTTTGAACCAAACACTTTATCCAATCCACTAAGCATCAAAACAGAATAAGAAGAATTTAGCACTGTTGATTTAATAAAGGATTCAGTTCAATCTTCTAACCTTACTAAGTATAACAAACACTTGAAGAAGGCCAGAAGGTACAATGGCCAAGACATTGTGAGTACAGAATCCATAACAAAATCCCAACAGACAAAAGCCCAGTTTCTTATCCTAAATGTAAATAAAATATAAGATTAATTAATAAGATTAGATGTAAACCTCATTCATATGTTATAATATATTAAATAGCATATACATATATTGTCAGTATTACTTTTCATGCAACTGTGGAACTGCAAGGTATTGGAGCATGCATTTCAAGTAAGCCTTCATAATTATGTATACATAAATGGAGCATAAATTTATTAAATAAGTGTATATGTTGAATATTATTTGTCTCAGTTTGGTGGTCAATTTTAAAATGAAACAAATTAGTAAATTGTTTTTCTTTTAGCAAAAGAATAACAAAATGTTTTTGTTTTTTTTCTTTTTTTTTCCAATGATTTCTATTTTGCTTGCCAAATTTAAGTTTTTTATATTTTTAATGTCAGCTATTTTTATTTGTCCTGCAGATCTGACACTTTTCACCAGTTTTTTTTCTTTTGCATGCACCTGCAACAAGACAAAATCTCGTTTTCAAGACTCGTATTTCTTTTTATCTACTGCATTTGCTATGACCTCAATCCTGAATATCCTTCACTGTGTTTTCTTTTTCATGTCACCATAATTTTTAAAATTTTATTTTGATTATTTTCTTTTCCTACATAAATCTTTTCCATCAGTAATTTCTCCTTTTCATATTTGTGGGGAAAAATGTTTTCTATTTTTAACAAATTTCTATAACCCTGAAACCATTTTTTGTCTCTATAAATTGAACAAGAAAAATCACCATATATTTATGGTTAAAATTCCTAGGGATATGATGAAGTGCTTTTGTAGATATACTTTCAGTATGTTAAAGTTGGTATGTTTCTGTATAGTTTATCAGGTTATTTTTTAAACTTTTTACAAGTGTCCCCCCCCCCCACTAGTCATAATAGCATAGAAATTTCATTAACCATAATCGGATATATTTTCTTAAATTTGAGGAATAGTTTGAATTATCCCCCTTTATTGATATAGCAACCATTTTATTGACATGCTTTTTTAAATTAAAAAAACAAAAAAACAATTGAATCCTACTTTTTGTTATTTTTGAAGAACTATTAAAAAGTTGCTTTTGTCTTTCTGTACAAACTTAACTGTAATTTTCATATAAATTAACAATTTCTTTCTAATAAAAAGTAAAACAAATGGATTTTTTTTTAAAACTCAGTATCATGCAGTATGCTTACAATTACATTTTTTTTATATATATATATATATATATATATATATATATATATATATATATATATATATATAAGCATATTTAATGATTATAAAAAAAATCTTCAATTAAACTCTATAAATAGAGCTATGGTTTTCAGCTAGCAGAATTCTTGATAATATTAATGATTTGTTGATTTTGCAATCTATTTATTTAGCTGTTACAAGGAATTGGGGGTTATGAATCCTAACTCCTGAAGAAATATGTTATGATTTTTGAAGTTGATATAGTTTATTGTTGCCAACTACTTAGCTGATGTTCTTTCCAGACAAAAGACTTCAAAGTTAATTTGTTAGATTTTTTTTTTTTTTTGAAGAGAGTCTGCCTTTGTCAAAACTATGCTTTAAATTCATAAGTTTATGACATGCACAAATCCAAAATGTTGGTCCAATCAAAGTGTCAAATAACAACATAAATTAAAATTTCAATATTTCCCTTATATAATAAGGGGCAATTTTTTCTTAAAGCTCAAGAAAAAAACCCTGATATCTTATACAGCAATGGTTAGGTTACCTGTACTAGACCAATGCCTAAACATTCCCATTTACCAGATGGCATGCACATGGTGGATAGTGTATTGGAATGAAAAATCAAGACAGAATTCAAATTCTAGTCAAATTTGTTACATTAACTCACATGCAAATACCCTTGGGAAAGATATGAATCCATCTCTTCTTACCCCTCAGCTATGGGTTAAATAGTATAACTTGTATTTTTTGAAAAATCATTATCTCACAAAAACTTAATACAATATTCACTCTCAAAAAGCAAATTATTCTTACAATCTAAAATGTTTCTGCATTTAATAACTCACAAAGGGTTGATAACAAATCAATCAATTCTGTTTAACCAAATGGTTACTAATGACAACAGGATGCACTTCACAAAATCTAATA